CGCCCCTTGAGATCAGCAACAGATGCCCTTCTGCGGGAACCCTCCATGAAGGACATTAGGAGGGTGAGTACCCGGAGGAGGGCCTTCTCTGCAGTGGTGCCCAATCTATGGAATGCGCTCCCCAGAGAGGTCCGCCTGGCGCCGTCGTTATTTGTTCTTCGGCGCCAGGCCAAGACCTTTTTATTTAAACGTCATTTTAATTGTTGCTATTATTTATTGATTTTACATGTTTGGCCAGGACGTCTCCAATTATATTGTTTTTATATTATTATGTTATTTATTGTTGTGAGCCGCCCCGAGGCGTTGGCAAATGGGGCGTCATAGAAGCTTTCTAAATAAATAAATACATCATTTAATTTGCATAAGAGATCCAACAATGTAGGTGGGGAGGAGGAGGAAACAACCAAGGTCTAGCGTACCATGCAGCCTGCAAAGCTCTTTTTCAGTGACGCAGCTGTGAATAGGCAACTTAGAGAAATAATGTAAAATGTGATTTCTCAAAATGCAATGGAGAGGCTCCTTCAGCCTCAGCTTCTTGATGCCCCCAGAGCAAGCTAATAATACACGGACGATAACTCTGCAGAGGACCTGGCATGCAGCCGAAGCCCAAAGGAGTAAATCAAAACCACATCATGGGATTTCTATTTATTCTCCTGGCAACCTCACGCCAAGGTGGAGAGGACAGACTGCTCTGCCGTTGGCCAGGGACCAGTTTCGTCTTGGCCTGGTCTCCTGGCGGGGGCAGCGGGCCTTCCGCCTTGTGCACCAGGCCTCCTCAGGCAGCAAGAGAAGTCCAAGATCGTAGGTGTCAGCATCCTGGTCCTTCGCGATTTGATGAGCAGGGAGCAAGACCCACACCGCAGCCGCTCAGTGGTTTGGGCTTCGTTCCCAGCTGGCTATGCCGCCGCCGCCAGGCAGCTGAACCCAAATTGCTGCAGCAACAGCCACTTGGTCTGGCGGGGGAACAGACCCGACTGACAGAGAATGCCCCTTTAATGGTTTTCTCCGGACAACGTAAGGCACCAGCCTCTGTGGCAGCAGACAGACACCTGCAGAGCGCCCAGGGCTGAGACATCCGGAGAAGGAGAGAGCTCGTCCTGCACTGGTCCGTGCCCCCAACCAGCAAGGAGTGGTGTGAGTCTGGCAGGCTTGTTCACAAAGCAGCCGCTCAACTGCCCACGCTTCCCTTTAGCAGGAATGGCTAAAGCACAAGGACACCCGCCAGCTGGCACAAACGCAGTGCGGTGGCCAAAGCAGCCAGAGCGTCTGACTCGCCGCCCCCAAATGAGCCAGGAGTCATGAGCCAGGAGGACACCCGGCCCTCGGATTCCAGCGTTCTGGAAGCGGGTGGCAAATCAGGAGCCCCGGGTTGGACGTGGCATCGAGCTTCGGCTTGCTGCTGAATCTCCGGCTGGCACCGCCGTCCCTGCCGGCGGTGGCAGCCCAAGGAGCTCAGCCAGCACACACTGTTGGTGAACGGTAAGCCGAGGCTCATGCTGGTTCCAGCTTTTTGGCGCATGTTGCAGGCCTTTGCGTGCGATGGCTTTTTCACTCCACACAGCTCCCACCTCCCTTCGCAAGACCACCACTCCCGGAACTGCAATTCGGTGCGCCACCAAACCACGTCCCTGCACGCCCGCTCTTCTACGTCACACACATGCAAGAAGCCAAGCCCCAAAACTGCAGGTATAAGCTAGGATTCAGTTAAGAGTCATTTATGTGGATGAAATTGTGTGGCATACGCTGCTCTGAGCTCAGCGCTGGGAAGAGGGTTGCAAATGCAGAACACACCCTGACTCAGTTTATTTGGAATTTCCTGCGTGGAATCAGGTCAAGGATAAAGAAAGACTGGCCACCGCTGTCCTTGCCCTGATCACTTCTATCTGGCTGCGGAGATGAGTAATGTGTGGGTACCTAAGAGTTGCATTTTCGACTCGTGAGAACCAGTTCTTTGGTTCCTGAAAGGAAACAGTGCTAAGTACCGGCCCAACAACCAGCAAACTGCTGATAACCTCCAGGTCTGTATAGGAGAGGCGAGAAATGGAGGCGGGGGAGGGTCACTTGGTCACAGCATCCCCAGAGAAGTGCACCTGGCGCCAACTCAGAAATTAGATGCTGTGCACCTGGAATTAGATCCAGCAAGTCTGCCTGCTGCAAAGACTTAAGATACGTCAAACGATGGAGTGAGGTTCCTCCCACACTAGGACCCACACCACAAAAAACCAAAATCCTGGACTATCGGTGCAGTCCAGCCCATTTGGGGAGCACTGCAACTCCCATTAACCCCAGCCAGCCAGGCCACGAAGGCCATACATTCTTTCCCTGATTTGTAAGCAGGAGAGGAGATAGAAGTGTGGATGTGAAACGGAAAAGTTAACAAACTGGCACAACCACCTACCTTCAGTTCAGCCACAAAAGTATTTGCTCGCACTATGTCCAAAGTTGTGACACCAAAAATTCTGTTGGGGTTGTACACTCCATGCTTTTTAAAAACCTCAGAAGTGATCGGGATGGTGGAATTGACCTGAAAGCAATGAGAAAATCTTTCATCCCCTATAGTTTAGATACATTTTAACAATGCAACTTTTTCAACCCTTTTATAGTCCCTTGAAGCAACTGGGATGAATGGGAAAAATACACCGGAGTTTAAAACCACCATATCAAATTCAAGTAAGCTCATGGTTATCACTGCATTAAGATGTGCACCCTGAAAGGTGACAAAAATAATTGCAACTAATGAAGAAAGCCTGCTTTCTTTGGGCCAGTCACTGACTCTGAACCCAACCTACCTTGCAGGACTGTTGTGAAAATAAAATGGAAAGGAGGACTATGCAAGCCACCTGGGGTTCCTTTTGGGAAGGGAGGCGTTATATAAATATAATCAACATGCAGTATTTATTTACTGGGATAAATTTTCTCGCAGCCTTCAAGAGAAGCCCCAGGGCAGCTGCTGGGCAAACAGGCCTTCAGCCACACCTCACTAAGTGGTGAATCCCCTCTTGTTGCCTGGTGCAATTATGGGTTGTGGCTTGTTTCATATTGCAGCTGAAAGGCAGCTGGTCTTTTGAAGAGCAGAAGCCAAACAGCAACCCGGACAAGCAGTGACAGCCAAGCCAGGCACTGCTTTCAGCCTGTAACTCCCAGGCCACTCTGGCAGGGACTCCGAGGGAGGGGGAGGAGGCTCCCTGCTTCTGCCCAAAACACACAGCAGCTGCTGCTGAAAGGGCAGCGGCATGTGGCAGAAGTTACCCTGTGCCACGATGTGCGACCATTCCCTTGCTGTCTGCCTCCTGTCCAAGCTCTGGCAGCCAGGGACGCAAAGAACGGTTGGGCACAGCTGCGCACGATTTCCTAAACCTGAGAGGGAGAGCACACCGATGCACAGCCGCCACCCTTGAAGCAGCCATGCACAAGGGGCCACACCCCTGCCAGCCTGCAGTTTTCTCCCTGGCCACCTGTGCACCGCAAACGATGTTACTCTGTTGTGCACTCTTGGTAAATCCAGACGGCAAAGTGTGCAAGAGGTGTGGAGGATCGAGTGATCTGACCAGCCCAGGATGGATGGAATGGCTCTGCCAGACCCGTCTCCCCAGCAGCCACGTGGCGGAGATGGACCGTGGAAGGCGGCACCACCGGGGGGAGTGCAGGAAAAGCCCGGACGGGAAGTGAGAAGTCCGTCACCCGCAAGCAAGCAAGCAGCGGGCTGTGCAGCGGTGCCACGTCTAGACACAGAGCCTCGCGCAAGACCCCTCGCAGAACGCAGCCGGATTCTGCTTACCGGATTTGCGATCACGCAGATCATGGCTTCAGGGCAGTGCTTAGCACAAGCGGCCGCCAAGTTTGCAACGATGGTGGCGTTCGTATTGAAGAGGTCATCGCGGGTCATGCCTGCAGGTCAGATGGGAGAACTTAAGGGGCACATCCGATCCGGCCCAATCCCTACCCAGGAAAGACTGCACCACCGATTAGGGTAAGAGTGTACCCTTCTACGCCCTGGACAGGCAGGGCCACAGGGCAGCACAGAGTCATGTCTCAGCGGCCCCAGGAAAACACCGGTGCCCCCGCACTGCAGCAGCAGCCATCAAGGTCTTCTGGTCCCTTGCTGCCATTCGAGGTGCAGGGAGAGGAGCAGACCAACGCACAGCAGAGCAACAGCACAGGGTTCCCCAGTTCTGCAAACAAAGCTTGCCCTTGCCCACAAGGGGGCCCTAGGCTGCAACTTCATGCCATGCCTCAGAGGAGCTCACAAGCCCAGTGGGATGGTGGGGGAGAGCACTGTCCCTCCCGACTCCCACCTGGCCCAGGGGGCAGTGACCCTCAAAGGTCTAGCGTAAGGCGAGGGCTGCTTGCCCAGGCCGGGGGAAGAGAGGCATCACCCCGACTTTTCTCCAGGCTTTGAGAAAGGGCAGGGCTTCACAGCAGGAGGGGATTCATGCTTGCAGGGCGCAAGATGGTGGGCACCTTTATGGACTATTGTGATGAAGGGCAGCAGAAGAGTTTACGGCACACCAACCAGCCTGCAGTCCAACTGCAGTCCAACACATGACAGGATGAGGAGGTCTATGGCCAGTGTAAAGGTAAAGGTAAAGGTTCCCCCTGCACGCGTGAGCCAGTCATGATTGACTCTAGGGGTGGTGCTCATCTCCGTTCCTAAGATGAAGAGTCAGCGCTGTCCAAAGACGCCTCTGTGGTCACGTGGGCTGGCGTGACTAGGAGCTTTCATGTGCAGAACACTGTTGCCTTCCCGCCAAAGCGGTGCCAGCTTATCTACTTGCATTTGCATGCTTTCAAACTGCTAGGCTGGCAGGAGCTGGGGCAAGTGACAGGAGCTCACTCCGTTACGTGGCACTAGGAACGTGGACCACAGACCTTCCGTTGACAAGTTCAGTGTCGTACCCACTAAGCCAAGCCTATGGGCAGTTCAGAAATGTAATAAGCAGCAACAATAATAATCCTGTGCACACTCCCCCACCAACTCCCAGCATGCCTCAGGCATCATGGCTGGCTGGGGAGAGCTGGGAGCGGCAGGCCTTTTCTCCTGCCTGAACATGCATGGCACTGCACCCTTCCTGCACTCCCACGGTGGTTTCTGCACACCCTTTGCGCTCGACAGTTCAGAGATGGACAGTTTTGACTAACGACCGACAAGGAGCATTAGCGCACAAGCAGGTGCCACTTCTTCCGGAATCCCTGTCCTGCTCCTTAGACATGATGCTACCCAACTCCAACCACAGCCAGATGCCCTCGTCTGGCAAGCCTGCGTAACATGGATCTCTGCAGAATTTCTCAGACTAGAGACTCACCTGGCTTTCTAGGGACTCCAGCTGGTATTACGACGACTTCACAGCCCTTCAGAGACTCTGGTAACTGCTCAGGCCCTAGAAAACCTGAAAAAGGAGAGGAAGAACTACATTTATGTTATACTGGCAGCTGAGTCGCATACTGATGGCATTAGCATACTGAAAAACAGTATGGAGAAGTAGAAAATTACCAGGGTCCTGAACATAAGGGCAATTAATTTGATTGTCAACTCCTTAGAATGTGCTTATGTGAACCTAATTTATCATTAAATTAAGTGATATTCCTGATATAATTATCTATGAACAGATAAACAGAGTAGGATTTTCTGGTGGGAAAGCAGGTGGGCATGTCAAGCAAGCAAGCTGCCTGCTCTTTTCCCCATGGGGGCATGTGTTTGGGTGGAAAAATCTACAGAGGCAAACAAAGGTTCAAGAGGGATGAGGTGAGACTCAGGAAGCAGCAGCCAATCAGCTTCCTGTCATTCTTAACTCTCCACCCTCCCAGTCTTGTATTATCATCTTAAGCTGTGACATTCCTAAGGGACAGACTGGGGGGGGGGGGATACCCAAAGCTGCTGTGCAGGAACAAGTAGGGGCCATCATCTGTTCCTTGTCATGCTCTGAGTGTGGGACACTGCAAATGGGAACATTATTTCTGGGCATCCTTCCCAGAGGGAAGGAGAAGGGCACACAGAGAGTCAGTGTCCTGAGGATACCCTTCCGCTACAGAATCCTCCTATAGCAAGAGGGCAAAGATAAACTAGGGAGGCAGATAAAGCAGAGATCACTGTCACTACAGTTCATCGGACAACAACCCAACAAGAGGACTTGGCATAAGCGATTACAGGTAGGAAGAGGAGGAAAAGAACAGTAGGACAATCCTCCATTTCCTCTTCCAAGGGCAGGTCCTCTTAGAGGAAGAGCATAAAAGCAGCCCCAAGGCTGGGTCAGACCCATGGACCCTCTAGCCCACATTCCATTCACAGTGGCTACCTGACTGCCACTGGATCATGTAGCACAAATGCAGCCACTAGATCATGTTCCACAGCAACTGGTGCACACAGGCATACAGTATCTGATACTGGGGGTAGCCTATACCCATCAGGACCAGTAGCCATGTACTATAACCTTTTAGGTCTCATGACCAGAACTGTACAGTATGTAAGAATGAAGGGCAGATGCCAGCACTGAGCAGGGACAGATTCCCCTTCCCTCCCTCCTCAACAGGCTGTCTGTCTTGAGCTACCCCTTTTCCAGGTACCAGGATAATGGGCCAGTCACAGAGCGGTCCCTAGTTGCAGGAAAAGCACAGGACCTGCCAATTCTGTCAAGCAACCACCATTGTCAATCAGCTCTCCAGATCAGTACCACAAATAACACAAGTAAGTCGGGCCACTGTACCTTTCACCTGGGCTCTGGTCTCAATGTGGCTGAGATCCGCTGCGACGCCTGGAGTGTGCGCAATATCATAGAGGCTGAGGTGACTTATTAAGGGGCTGTTCTTCAGCAAGAGGGAGAGGGGCTGGCCAATCCCCCCAGAAGCACCAAGTACGGACACTTTAGCATTGTTCTAGATTGAACAAAAAACAAAGAAAAATGCATACAATGGAAGGTTCTCAGGTGGACATTAGAACCAGAGGAGACACCTGGAGACAACAAGCACATCAGCCATCCTCTGGAACAGGTTCCAGCAGCTCCACAGACAGGGGTGCACTGCCTTCCTCACACTGGAATGTAATTAAAATCAAGGCAACAAGAAAACTGCATGGTCGCTGTCAAAGAACAAAATAAGGCATCTGAACATCTGTTGGTTCCTTAGAGAAATCTGAACCCTGAGAATCTCTCTCTCACTCATCTTCAGAGAAAGCTTTAAGTCAGGGGTCCTCAAACTTTTTCAACAGGGGGCCAGTTGAAAGGCGGAGGTGACAGGGGGAGGCTGGTGAGGTGGAGGTGCCCATGGGTGCGGGCTGGTCAGGCGGCAGCGGGTGAGCGAGGCGGCGGCTTGCGCGCTGGGAGATTTCCCAGCGAGTCCAAAACCTTCTCCAAGTGAGCGAGGCGGGCTGCAGCAGCAGGCGCGGGGAGTCCAAAACCTCTGAGATGGGCCGGATAAATGGGCATGGCGGGCCGGATTCAGCCCACAGGCCGTAGTTTGAGGACCCATGCTTTAAGCTCTAGCTTGTAAATTAAACCTTGGAGAGTAATTCTATGCTTGTTTAAACTGAAAAAAATCCTACAACTCCCAGCATAGCTGACTGGGCAATGTTAGGATTTGTAAGGGTTCTGTCAGTCAGGTTTGGGCCCTGAAAAGTGTGGGTAGTTTATTTTCATTAAACTCCCATAAACCAGAAATGATATTGCAGCCTCACAGTCAAGGACCAAGTTTCACCTCATAGAACAGCATTTTCCATCTCACTTTGGCTCACAGGAGTTCCCCTGTTTTCCCAGATACCAGCTTCCATGTTCTGAAGACAAATAAACCGAAAATACCAGCTAGGTCGGTATGCATATAAATTCACATATTTATGAAAATAGCAGAGGGGAAAAGGAATAATCTGGTAAGAGCTTGCAATCTTCTTGGCACAGATCAGAGATCTTGAGCTTGGCAGACTCACAATCTAAAGAGACCTGCAACACAAGGAAAATGGGATGGGGAGGGAAAAGCAAAAGCTTTGAGCTAGATATTCGCAGGAACTAATTAAGGGAGCCAATAAGCAGCTCTGCTGAGAGGAGGCAGACTTCCATCTTCTGGACAAGAAGAAGTTAAGCTACTGACATTTCCCTGACTCGTTCTCTGGGGCACTGCTGACTGTGCAGTTCAGAATTCCAAAGGTGAACCCAAAACCTATTTTGCAATTGGCAAATGGCCTGAGGCAGGGGCAGAGGGAAGGTCTCCAAGACACCTTTGACTGCAGCATTTCTTTACTTTAAGGGGCATTCAGAGAAGTTATGGTCAAAAGTAACAAGAGGCTCTGCAATTCATATTTAACAAATCTGATCACTTCTTGGGGTCCATATAAACAGAGAACATTGCCAGCCAGCCCATGTCACCCACAAAAGGTTGCACCACAGTAAGTCAGCAGAACTCTTAAAAGTCTTTCCTCTGAAAAACCTTCTGATCACCACTCTCATACATCTTGATTACCTGAGACTGGTTTTAGTGTAATCTTTGGCTTCAGGCAAAATGTTAGGGGGCAGTCCACCTGGGCTAGAGCCCCAGATTTCTGAGTGCTCATCTGTCACCACCATGCTGTCTATGGGCAGTTGCAGAAAAAACTTGCAGGGGCCCTGGTGGTCCTTTCATTTGTTCCCACTGGATTAGTCAGCATTCTGCCCACCAGTGTTTCTTGCCCTGATACATACTGAAATCTTCCTGTCTGTAGCTGCCAATGAATGCATGTATTCACAAAGCTATTTGTATGAACTCGGAGGTTCAGTCATTCCTGCACTAGCCACTGGTCCCTCAATTTAATTTAAAGCCAAGGTTAAATGCAATCACAGCCCTCTGGCTTCTCTCTGTCCTACAACTGTTCCATTCAGAAGTATGGGCACCCTTCCTCAGCTGCGCCCCCCTGGGCAGCAAAATCTCGTCAATCCCAGACAGAATTACTGGAGGGGTTCTACGCCCTCCAGAATTTCTCAGCCATCCAGGTGCTGATGGGAGATGTAGGTCCTTTTCTTGCTTAAATTCACACAGAATTGCTCCTAGCAACAAACTGCAGATGAAGGACATGTTTCTTACAAGCCCAGGAATTTAATGGGATTCAAGGTCAACATGACTGCAAAGAGTTCTGCAGCAAACACAACTAATTTAGCCAAGCGCTTTCTTGCCAGAACTTGGTATCTTGTGAAGCAGCTGGATCTGAGCAAGGCCAAAAAAATCCTGCCACTGGCGTTGGCAGGAACCACATGGTTAAATAGGTGGAGTTATGAAACACTCTGATTCAATGAATGAAAGTGGCAGGAAATGGCTGAGGTAAAGGATGTTGCAAGACATCTGTACAAAGTTACTTGCAAAGACTGAATGCTAAGGAAGTAACTTCGTGCCAAAAGGGAAAAAAGAGTGCTGATTAGGACCGAAGGAACAGTGTTAATGGAATGGGATTCCTCAAGCTATTTACTCTGAATTAAAATAAATTAGGGCAGACAAAGCCATAAATCATTATTTCAAGGAACACATCGCTATATGAGGTCATCAGCCAGCAACTCTGATTCCCCCAGCTTCAACCCTGCAGCAGCCCCTATTCAAATAAAATGCTGCTTCTCCAGTCAACCTTTGAACCATGTGAGCCTGACTGTGCATGTTCCTCCATTACTTAATTCTCCATATCCCTAGTCTGGCATTGCAGCAGCACCCTCCCTACACCTGGTTTTTTATTCACCCTTTGGGCTAAGCAGCAACTAACCCCACCGAGAAATGTTAGGGAACACCTTTCCATATCTCTCTGCAGGCAGATATGGTAAGATCCCACTTACTCAACAAGGAACGCTCTGCTGCCACTCCAAGAAGCCTGACTTTACCACACAGGCACACATGCTTTTCCAATATCCTGTAGTAACACATAAGTGCAAGTTCACAACAACATAAGAAAGAATGCCTTTGCTCCTTCCAAACTCCTACAGCATTCTGTAGGCAGACCTAATCAATTCAAACTCATCTGAATGTTTACTCCTACCCATGTTCCCCAGCAACTAATATACACAAGCACACTAGCTCCAATACTAGAGGTAGTGTATGGCCATCACAACTGGTAGTCACAGATGACTTTCTACTCCACAATTTCTTCAGCCCCCTTTTAAAGCCATATAAGTTGGTGCCCATCATGCCATCTTGTGAAAGTGAATTCCATTGTCTGACTATGCACTGTGTGAACAATAACTTCCTTTGATCTCTTCTGAATCTCCCACCAATCAGCTTCTTGGAGTGACCTCTTTCGGTTCTACTATTAAGAGAGGAAGAAAACCATGTTTCTTTAGCCACCTCCTCCAGAGCAGGCATAATTTTGCACATTAAGGAACAGGGTGATATCTTAACACATCGGCATGTAAGAAGAGCCCTGAAGCTGGATCCAGCATTCTGCTCACAAGAATCCCACAAGAGGGGTATTAATGCAACTGCACCACCCCACCCGTGGTTCCCAGCACCTGACATACACAGGCATACTGAGGGGTAAGATACAGCCATCATGATTAGAAGCCATTAATGCCCTCCACATAGCCTCCTCCTCACTGAATGCAATAGGGCCTATGTATGACATGCTTTGACCATGAGATCCAACACAGGAATAAGGCTCCACTTGAACCTCACAGAAACTATAACCAGCTTAAGCATGATGGGCTGCCAGCTCAGGTCAGTTCAACACACTTTACAGGCCTGATTGCACTGCCACCCTGGCAACAACCGTGCAAAGCAGATCAGCATACAAGCCCTATTTTGCAGGTGGACAGCTAGCCTTCCTGGGAGCAGAACACACAGAAACCAAGGCACGTCTGACCTATGGTCGTGGGCTCACTCTTAAGCAGGGCTATCTCGCGTCTTTATATACATAATTTAAGCAACTTTCGTACCTCGATGGCAGAAAATTTCAGAAGGTAACAAACGGAGCGCTACCAACGAACAAGAACAACTGGTGCCTTGTACAGCGCCGACCATTGCCTGGCGCATGCGCAGTGCCTGCTGCCACTAGGCCACACAACCTGTTACCTTCCTTCCCGGTCTGCAAATACCTGCGAGGAGGTGGCGAATCCGCGGCGGAGCGCGGCGGAGGCGGGCCGGGTGAGGCGGGAGAACATGACGGCACCGGTGCGCTGCGAGGGACGGGACAAGCTCAGCGGCTCTTTCTCCTCAGTCGACGACCTCCAGCCACCGAGGGCACCGCGAGACGTTGCGCAAACTCTCGCGAGACCTGGAGCTCGCGCTCTCTGGACCGCCTCGCTTAAGCCACGCCCCCTTCCGAATACCTGCTCCTCGTTCCTTTCAGTACTCCTTGAGGTCCTGCTTAACCGGAACGGAAGGTGAAGGACTTGCGAGTCCGAGTGTGGCACTTACAGGCCTCATGGGGCATTTTGGTTCTACCTATTAGGGCTTAAAACAGCTTTATTTGCCAGTTCCCCGGAGATATACAAACGTGTGTGCAAATACTCAAAACCTTCCTGTATCTTAGAGCGCGATCTTATGCGTAAGGAGTTGGGGAGGAAGGACTACAACTCCCAGCATGCCTCATGAAACAGAGCTGGCTAGGGTAATTGTAGAGCTTTCTTTCCTGACTAAGCATAGGATTGCACTTTAAAACTTTTTGTTCTCCTTTTGAATTCAGTTTCAGTCTCATAAAATTTTCCTTCCTGTTTTTACATGGAAACCCATAGAAAGTCTTGCTGACTTGAACCTTCAAAGAGTCATTCTCGCGACACAACGCCAACTCTCGCGAGACGTTCCCTCTTGTCCGCTGCATCTTCTCATTCCGCTGCCTGAGATAGTCACTTGAGCCGACTGACCGCAAAAGAGAGGTTCATACCGACTCAGCTTCACTTTCGTAGTGAAACCTCGGAAGCCCTCACAACACAAGAAGCCAGACTGCTAGGTTTCTCAACTCTCGCGAAGGTTTGTCCGTCCGCCCCCGGAGTAATTTTCTCGAAGCTACGCGAGACTTCGTCGCTCCGTTTCTTTTCCCGGCGTAGCGCCTCACGTTTGGGTGAGGTATCGCGAGAGTGAAACAGTGCCGTGACGTCAGCCCTGGTGACCGCGGAGCGTCTCCCCCTAGCAACAGGGAGGGAGTCGGCCGCGCGGGCTGCAGGGGCAGTAGGAAGAAGATGCGCCGGTACGACGAGCCAGCAATAGGCGTCGGGGCGGGTTCCGTTGCCGTAGCAACGTCCCGGCAGGGCGGTAGCCCGTGAGTGGCTCTGGTTACGGTGACGTCCCATCGTCGGCGCTCTGCGGGTCGCAGGTTCCACGGTTGCCGTGGCAACGGTTACCCGAGGCCCCTGGCAACAGGAGCGGCGGTTGCCATAACGACAGAAGCCCAGGGCCGCACAGGTTGGTGGACCGCCATCCTTTGCTAAGCGTCTCCTCTTGACCTTTCCTGTTTCTGTGAACCGACTGATTCATTGTTTTGTAGGGGACCTAAAGCTCCAAATCAACCTTCTTTGATCAATTGTTCAAGAACGTTTTAAAACAAGTGTACGAGATGGTTTGCCATGGCTCCCGTTTTCCTCCCTCCTTCCCAATTTGTTTTCCTTTTGTCATGTTTTAATGTGTAGGACTGTTTTCCTGCTAGGAAAACCTTTCTTTGCTGAGGAGCAGGGTGAAATGCTAGTAGGAATCATAATAAACTTGCATTATTGAAAAACATAGTCCCATATATTTTTCCTTACAAACTATTGAGTCAGTCATATGTAAACTGAGGCAGGTTCAATCAGTTCATTATGTTGACCAAAAGGTTCTTGTCCTGGTGTGTGTGTGCCCAAAATACACAACAGGGGAAGCTTTTCTTTGAAAGGATTTATTCCTAAGAATATCCAGCTGCCAACAAATTGACCCAGATGGTGCACTGGAGCAGTCCTCAGTTGGCCCTTTTATACACTGATCATTAGACGGTTACATGTAACGCACTTAACACTTTCCAATATGCTACAGAAGCAAAAAGGTTACAAGGTGTGATCTTCCCCATTTGCATCCCTAGGAAGATGCTCCAAAAAAGAGGGGAGGATGGGGTGTTATGACACAGAGGATGAGGAGGATGGGGTGGCCTGGTATGAATTGCCCTTTGTTTCTGCTGCTGCTATCTGTCAAGTGCCAACTAGTTTTCCCTGTACTGGTACTCTGTACTGTAATGTCAGCTATATCTTAAAGGTAAAGGTTTCCCCTTGACGTTATGTCCAGTCATGCCTGACTCCAGGGGGTGGTGCTCATCTCCGTTTCCCAGCCAAGGGAGCCAGCGCTTGTCCACAGACAGTCTCCGTGGTCATGTGGCTGGTATGACTAAACACCGAGGTGCAGGAACGCTGTTACCTGCCCACCGAAGTGGCACCTTTTCATCTACTTGCATTTGCATGCTTTCGAACTGCAGGGTTGGCAGGAGCTGGGAAGGAGCAATGGGAACTCACCCCGTTGTGCAGATTCGAACCGGCGACCTTTCGATCAACCAGCCCAGCAGCACAGCGGTTTAAACCACTGCACCACCTGCAGTCCCAGCTATATCTTAAGGATATATATCTTAAGGATGCACAAATGCTGATTTTTAGAAAAAAGGCTTTTCTCAGGCCTGGTTATGTGTCAATGATTACATGATTTAACCAATGAAAGTTCTACCTATTGATTTGTGCAATTGCCAAAGGTTTGTTCAAGACACTGTCCTATGCAGTTTTAAACAGAAAACTATCTTACAACTCCCTGTGTAACTGGCAGGGGCATACTGGAAGTTGTAGGATTTTTTTTCTTTCCAAAGATGAATAAGGTCATGTCATTAATTAGATGGTAGACTCTCTTAATGGTCCACATTTAGCTCACCTGTCTTTGTTTTTAGGTAAAAGGTATCTTGAAACCCATCCTCCTGCACAGCATCTATTGTTTGGATTTTCAGATAGATATGAAGTACCTGTTTCTATTAATGGATGAGCCACATGAATGTGAATTTGCTACCATAGAGGAGTTAACCTTTTGAGAATGCAGTAACATCTTCAGCACTGAATCGTTCTTGCACTGTGCGATGGCAGGGGTGTCACTGTGTGAGCCTACGGAACTGTACAATTTGTTGAATCAGTGCACAAAGATCTCTAGACTGGCAGAACCAAACTATCTGTGTTTACTGGGTAAGCAAATAGGAATCCGTGTCGAAATGTAGTCAGAGCAGGACAAGGCATCTTAAGCTAAAGGTCTGTGCTTGCTTCCTTGCTCATCTGCTTCGAAACTTTCCCTGTGCAATATGTTTCCACTGCTGCCAAGAACTGCTTCTAGTAGCAGGAACTTTCAGAAGCCTTAGATGACGAATTACCAGAAGCGCCACTAGGAGTTGTGAGGTACGCTCAGGGCTTGCCCATGGCAGATTACCACTGAGCACATTTGGACAGGCATGGTTATAAAAGACTTACATTTAATCAAGAAAAAACTTCAGAGTTTTTTTTCTGAGCAGAACTTCTACTGGGAATTTGCCTGAGCATGTTCCAGAGGGCCCTTCAGCAAGAAACACCCTTCTGACCCCCAAATTCACGCAGCCTTTCTTCACACCAGAGCCTATAACTCTTCCCTGGAATCGTTGGCTCCCTCCATTCCGTCGGCCTCCAGCCATGCAGGACTAGCAGGAGAGCCCTCTTAGTTTTGACATGAGGGCTGTGACTGTTGCATCCAGAGAGCAAACAAACACGTACAGGAGGCTCCTGTTTTTTCACTCCCCAGTACACGATACTCTGGCAGCCTCCCCAACATGGTGCCCTCTGGGTGTTGAATTACCAGTTTGAGTATCTCTCACCCTGCTATCATGTAATACACTGGGGAAGCAGCATCTGAACCTGTGCAGTTATCATGCCTAGTAGCCATTACAATTGCGACACATGAGTTTGTCTTCTATCTTATCAGGTCATCACTGAATCCAGGGATAGCAAATTCCATAAGTTAAGTGATGGGTTGGGTAAAGAGGCTCTTCCTGTCGTCTGACCTAAATCTCCTGCTGATCAGCTTCAGTGGGTGAGCCCAAAGCTCTAGCATTGGAAATGAGAAATGGACAAAAATTGTTTGTTCAGTCCACTTTTTCCTCACTGTGCCTCATTTTAGAAACTTCTTATCAGTTTGCTCCACGCTAGCCATTTTTCCCACATTAAGAGGCTTCAGACTATGTAAGCTGTTCTTCAAGGAATCTGCTGCAGCCCCGCGGGTTGGAGTGTTGCTTTCTGCTTCATTGCTACATCTTCTATATCACTTCCAAGATACGGCAACTCCATAAGGATGTAAGAAGAGCCCTACTGGACCTAAATGGAAGTCCATGTAACATAGAAATAGAGTGAGTCAGAAGGGGCCTCCCGAGCCATCTAGTCTGACCCCTGGCTCCAGCCGGCTCCGCTCACGACATGCCCACTGTATGCATGTCTAGCCTGTCCTTGAACACCCTCACCAATGGGGCCTCAGCCACCTCCCGGGGAAGCCCATTCCACACCCTCGGGGTCCTAACTGTCAGGAAGCGCTTCCTGGCATCCAAATGGAACCTTGGTTCCCTGAGCTTTCCCTGAGCACATCCTGCCTTCCTCTGCAGGGGAGAACAGGTCTCTGCCCACCTCCGTGTGACACCCCCTCACATACCTGCATGTCACCAGCAGATCCCCTCTGAGTCTCCTCTTCTCCAGGCTGAAGAGATCCGGCATTGTAGTCCAGCATTGTGTTTCCCACAATAGCTGAGTGGAAGCCTCTGCAAGGAATAGCTTCCCACTGTTACTCTGCTGCATCTGGGACTCCGAGACTGGCTTCACACAGCACTTCAATCCACATTCAAGGGCTGAGTGTGGGTTGTCACTGGAATGTGGGTTGTTGAAAGACGGGTTATCATGTTGTAGAGGTAACAACCCATGGAGAACAACACAACAAGAAGCCAGGAGTTCTCTTTGTAGGTTGTTTGTGGTTGATAAACCATGGGTTGTTAGCACAGCTAAATTCAGACAACAAGATGATCCACTTTTCTGTGACAACCCATGGTTCAGCAACAATGTGCAGTCGGCCCTCTGAACCCAGGCATTAAAAACAGCTGCCAGCGACTAGATGTCATTGATAAGGCTTGGTCTTTCCTAACTTCGTGGCCTCCAATTGCTTTGGACTAGTGTCCATCACTCCTGGCCATTGGTCATGTGAGCTGAGGCTGACGGGAGCTGTAGTCCAAAATAACTGGCATATGGTATTCCATCTGCCTGTGTAATCCTGCCTTCCCAGTGCAGAGACACAGCACAAGATCATTCTCCTTGGGGGGAGGCCAGGTCTGCGATTTAGGTGAGAATGCTCTTGGGAAGGCGTTCTTGCTTTCTTCCTGCTAAGTGATACACGTAGAACAGAAATGGCAAGAATACAGAAGACTTGAAAAAATGAACAAGAAATAGGAAATGGACAACAGATGTCAGAACAAAGCTGAACACGTTTTTCTGCTTTTTTGCTGCTGTTGTTTTCAGATGCTCGTACAAAGAGAGAGTACAATGAAAGCCACTTGATGACGGCAATACGAGTCAAAACAGTGAGTTACTGTGTTGGATATGATGGTTGTTAGTTAGTCTATTCCTGTAGCTTAGATGCTGACCAGCAGTAATGTGGGCCAGGAAGTCATGCTTTCATTAAAGGGACCAGCCATGATCTGAGAAGATGATTGGGGCAGCCCCTGCTCTGCTGTCCCTGAGGTACTTAAGACCTTGCATACCTGGAAAGAAGGCAAGGAAAAAGCCCAGGTCAGGAGGCCCATGCCCTTAGAGAGCTATGGCAGATGGACAGTAAATTTCATGGCTGAAGGGAGCTTCAGTTGACCTGAAAGAACTGCAATGTTTCTTTGCTTTCAGTAACATCTATTAGTTTGTTTCAGCAGCTAAAATCATAAACAGCTTGGGTACATTGGCAGGAAGGAGATACAGAATTTATTAAATCCATACCTAATCATATATTTTATATTGTATTTTTGTATTTTTAATTTAATGTTTATATTTATTGTAATTTATAATTACTTTTAATTTATTGTTGTAAGCCGCCCCGAGGCTTCGGCGAATGGGGTGGCATAAAAATGTTTTAATAAATAAATAAATAAATAAATAAATAATCAATATGTTGAAATTAAGCATTCTATTCTTCCCAGAAGCTATGCATTAGCCTTGGCTGGCATGAGAAAGAGTCCCTCAAATGGGGAAGCTTGAAAACCAGCATTATTTGAAACTGAAAAGTGAAGGGACACATGGCTTATTCCAACGGTGGAATACGTTCTGAAGGGCAATTCCTTAGCAGTGGTTTAACAAGGGTTTTCTGATCAGGCCGTCCCAGTGAGCTGGAGTTTTCTCCTGTAGCGCGGTTTGCATGGTGCTTAATCCTGCCCCTTTTCCTTCTTTTTGAAGAATCCGCTGGGCAAATACATGGTACCTCCATCTATCAACCTGGAGTGTGTCAGGCACTGTGTGGTGTACGATGGCATAACGGACTCGGTGGAGGCGGCCTTCGACATTGATTACGATGTGTATGAAGTGGATAAAGACCTGAAACGTACGTACGCGTCCTCTTCCTCTTCTCTTGCTTCAGATAAGCATGGTGGGATGGCAGGGTGGGGAGGGACAAGCTGAAGTAGCAGGCCCAGTTCATGCAAGACTGAAGCGTAACAAGGCAGAACATGTCACTGTCTCTTGTGGGACCTGGCGCTTCTATGTCCTACCTGTGGCATCACGGAGAGCCAGTGCAGCCCCCCCACCGCCTCCCCGGCCCGGGGATGAGATGCTCCTTCAAAGAGGAAACAAGAGTTGCATCCATATGGAAAGGTAGTGTGCTAAGCAAACGTTTTTGCTAGTTTAAGGTTTTCCCCAGGATCAGCCACAGGGCTCCCCACCCCGCTGTTTTTGCTGCAGTGGACCAAACGTTTTTGTTGGCATGTTAAAGACTTGACAGATGGATTTGGTGTAAGTGTCAGATGTATGACGTGTTAATCCTCAGCTAGCAAATGCGTGAGGGAAAAGGGGCAGAATGCTGGCACCGAAAGGCCGTAAACTCCAGAAAAGGCTAAGGCTGCAAAGGAAGCCATCCAAGGCCGCCTGCGGTCACTGCTCAGGGCAGCCGGGAGAACACATAGAGATCAGCAGTTGAGAACAGTACTTCAGGCATCTGATGTTGAGCCTGAACCTGACAAAGCGGGCACTGGAAGAATCAGCTGAGTCTAGTCATGTTGCATTAATGAACGGTTTCTATGGAATTTTAGCACAGCTTGTTCTTTTGTTGGGCACCTCGGCGGAAACACTGGAATCTATAAATTCAAGGCAGCCTCACTTGCCCGCAGTTTTTCATAATAAAAGTTAGTCAGTTAGACAAACAGTTTCTTTACTAAACCCCAGGGTGCAGGGAAGAGAGAGACAGAATGAGAGGGGGCAGGGGAGCAGCCTCAAGGAAATGGGCTGTGTCAGCACTGGGAGGAGAAACCATGTCCCCTGGGCTTCAGGTGCTGCACGTTGTTATCACCACGAGGTGGTCTGTGGCATGTGAACCAGCTCAGCGTGGAGATGACAGCAGGGGGTCCTTCATTGGGTTGGTCTTGATGGCTGTGCCCTGCCCCATGGAGGAATGGGGATCTCTGTGGGCCCGTGGACGTGTTGTTCGGCTTAATAAAATATAATAAAAATAAAATAAAATAATATTTTTCCCCAACTTGGGGAGCCCCAATTGTGTTGGAGCTGGCTGGGAATGGTGGGGGCTGCAGTCCAGCGCATCTGCAGACCTCCAGGTTGTAGAAGGCCGGCTAGTACAGTCTGAGGACAGTTTATAAGCAGCCACCCTCTTGCCTCATGCGGGACTCAGCACTGGTGGCAGCTCTGTCCACCCAAACGCTTGTATTATCTGGGAACAGGCCGGGCCACATGGGGAGAAGCCTGATGCATTGGGCCCATTCTGAGCTTGCCTGCCTTCCTTCCGTCCTTCCTTCCGTCCTTCCTTCCGTCCTTCCTTCCTTCCTTCCTTCCTTCCTTCCTTCCTTCCTTCCTTCCTTCCTTTCATTCTTCCCACTTAGCGTACGACAAAGGGGCCGACATCACAGGACTGAGGCACAAGCCGTCAGCTGACTATAGTAAGTTTTTAAGTTGTTACTCAGTGACTGTTCAGGGGTTGTTAAAAGGGTGATTCAAGTAAGATGGGGCCCTCTGAGTGGCCACAGGCTTCCTCTGTAGAGCAAAGGGTCCAGCCCGAAGCCCACCCTCCCCCACTGCACGCAGCGCACAGCGTCCCCTTCCGTCCAGGGTTGAGATCTGAGCTGGAGAGGAAAAGGTTCTGCAGGTTTGGCTCAAAATGCCAAACGTGTGACAAAACTCAGTGGCTCCTAGTCCTGTTGGCTCTGTGCTACCTCCACGTTCAGAGGCAGCATTCCCCTGTATGCCAGTTGCTGGAGAACTTGGGTAGGAGAGGGGGCTGCCACACCAGTGGCTTATTTGTGGGATTCCATGGGCAGCTGGTTGAGCTCAGTGTGGAAAGAACGCTTGACTAGTTAGACCTTGGTCTGATGCATCGTGGCTCTTCTGGTGTTCCTCTGTTATGTAACTGGAGAGCAGTTCAGGACCCAGGGAAGGAAGCCCTGTTTGCAGTGATGGCCAGCATTTCGGCTGGCTTTCAAAGGCGACTGGACAAATTCACGGGGGAGCCGGCTATGAAAGTCTCCTAGTCCTGATGGCCAGCAAGTACACCCATTGCTGGCTCTTCTTCTGTTCTTAACCAAGATTTCAACCACACCCTTCCATCCTCAAGAGGAAAAGGAACATGGGAAAAAGCCTCCTTTTGGAGAGCCAAGACCTGGGCAAGACTCGGGGGCAGCAGCATCAAAATGTAATCAAGAAGCAGCAACATGCAGTCAAGGCGCTAATCTGACGAATGCACGGAGGACCGCCTCCCGGGCCTTGCAGCCCAAACCGTGCCTCTCCTCCTCTCTTTCCGCTCTCTGTGCCCAGATGCTGTGGAAGGATCCGCAGCTCGCTGCGCCAGGGTCATGCAGCGCTTCACCCGCTTTCCAGTCCTGGTCCTGAGAGGTGGCTACGAACGGTTCACGGCCATTTACCATTATCTCAGGACCCAGAAGATCTTCTGGATGCCTCGGGTAAGAGGGGCTTCCCGGGGGAAGCGAGACGGGCTCCCTTTCTAGATCCTGTTGCCATTTTCTGCTCCAGTCAAGGCCTTCTTTGCAGTTCCTTAGATTTTTGCATACACACCTGCACACGCAGATGCTTCCGTTTGGACCCTCAGGCTCTCTGTACAGCTCCTTCTACTGCCGGCCTTTTGGACCACAGCTCCCAGAATTCATCTTACTGGCCAGGACTGATGGGAGTTGAAGTCCAAAGGATCTGGAGAACTCCAGGCTGGGTAAGGCTGCTGTAGATAAAGAACCCTTGTTTACTCTGCAGTGGCAGGCAATGCATCTGACTCACTGGTCTTCCTTCAGCAAATTGCCAGGGAACACCCTGCCATTTAAGCCTCAGGCAAGGCTGCATCAAAACCTCCTTCCTGTCCCTCTTGCTCCTGAACCGGCTCTTGCAATATACAGAGTAGTTTACATAGTTCATGTTGTTCAACTTCACGCCCGCCTGAGCAGATCATTAAGCACTTCAAAAAACCCCCGAACAAAACAAAACAAAACAAAACAAAGCATTGATTTGCTCTGTCTGTGCATGCATTTCTGCATAATTGATTTTGCATTTGCTATTTCCAAGAGGATGCACAGAGCCCTGTCCTTTGGCCAACAATAGCTCTTATATTAAAAGAAGAAATGAAAACATATTACAAAAGATTTGGCCTTTCCAGAACAATTTAGTTCTGAACGTGGAAATTTACAAGCATCCTCTAGAGAATGGGGAAGGCAACAGAGGCAGTTTCCGCCTCCCCGGTCGTCTCCTTGTGCATGTCAGCCAGCCCCCCCCCCCCCCCCACTCATGTTGTTGCTCCCCATTGCCTTTTCACCCCTTTCCCGAGATTGCGTCCAACCTCAGAGAAGCAGCAGTGCAGTTCTTTCCACACCAGCTGCAGGTGGACTGAGGTGGGATCTAGAAATGAATCCATACTGCCTAGGCTGGAGGTCTGTTGCCATTCTTGAATCTGGGAATCCAGAGCATTCTGTGCCCCCAGTACTCTAAGGACCCTAAAAGACCTCTCTTTTAGGGAAGCATGTTTAATGCAGAAAAAAGCCCCCATTTATTTATTTATTTAAAACATTTCTATGCCGCCCCCATCGCAACAAAGCCTCGGGGCGGCTCACAAAGGATACATAAATAAATAATGACAATATAACAATTAAAAAAAAAAATGTTTAAAAACCCCTGGTGCATTCTTGGCTAAAAATTTTAAAATCCTAATTAATTCAAATAATTTAACAATTAAAATAAGTTTTAAATAAAAAGGTCTTAGCCTGGCTCCAAAAAACAAATAATGACGGCACCAGGCGAACCTCTCTGGGGAGTGCATTCCACCACAGAGAAAGCCCTCCTCTGGGTACTCACCGTCCTAATATCATTCACAGAGGGTTCCCGGAGAAGGGCATCTGTCGCCAATCTCAAGGGGCGGGCGGGCATATATGGACGCAAGCGTTCCTTTAGATATCCAGGTCCCAAGCCGTTGAGGGCTTTATAGGTCATAACCAACACCTTGAATTGGGCCTGGACTTCAACTGGGAGCCAGTGGAGCTGACAGAGGACTGGGGTTATATGAGAACAACACCCAGTCCCCGTCAGCAGCCTGGCAGCTCTATTCTACACCAATTGAAGTATCCAGACCGTCTTCAAGGGTAGCTCCACGTAGAGCGCGTTACAGAAATCTAATCAGGAAGTAATACTCTTAAGGGCACTCACACCATAGATTTGATCTACGGTGTATGATCTTGACAGGTTCATTTTCAATCCCTTTCAATTATTTTCAGTCTCCCATCAATCAGCTTCATGGAATTATCCTGCTGAGTTCGAGTCTTATATCTACTGTTTCCACACCAGAGATATTTTTGTTCCTCTAGCATGTCTCCCCTTAACTGCTTGGGGTTTTTTTAAGCGAAAGGGTCCCAGACTGTAGCCTTTCCTCATATGGGAAATTCTTCTAATTAGCAATTGCAAACTCATCCAGTTCTGCATCTGAATTTTATTAATCCCAGGGCTGTGGTCTTAAGAGCTACGCCTATCACCTGCCTTTTTGCACTTCTCCAACAGGAGCTGGAAGCCTTTAAGCCCTATCCAGTGGAAATCCTCCCTGCTAAACTCTACATGGGAAATTATGCCCAGGCCTGCGACAGTCAGATACAGAAGGACCTGAAAATCAAGGCCCATATCAATGTCTCCGAAGAAGCCGGCACATTGTAAGTTGCATGGCCCACTAAGCAGGGTGTGGATTTTCCGTGTCTCTCCAGCCTGGCTAGGAAAGAGAGAAAGGTTATGAACCCATGAAGGGCTGAGGTTAGACACAGAAATACTTGTTCAAATTGCCAGCCTGCGAGCTCATGGGTGCAGGAGGGTTTTCTGGGTTTTGTGTCGTCATCTCTCCCCTAATCTAAAGCTTGAATGTCCCTGCTTAAGGTTGGGTCGCTGGCAGAAGGAGCCTTATGCTGGCCAATGAGGGCAAATGGTATTTTGCCCCATTCCACCACCTCTGGCACACCTGCCACTGGTGTGGATCCATCCCCCAAGAGTTTCTCCAAAATGGAGCATAACCAGGCCATGTTAAAGGCTTTGGTGTGAGTGCATAAAGGCCTAAACAAGCTGGGCTGAAAGCAACAGAATGAAATTCACGAAGGACAAGTGCCAAGTCCTCCACCTAGAAAAAAGAAACCAAAGGCATCGATACAAGATGGGGAATATGTGGCTCAGCAGAACCGAACAAGAAAAAGATCTCGGCGTAATTGTGGACAATCGGCTAAACATGAGCCAACAAGGTGATATAGCCTCCAAAGGGGCAAATGCTCTTTTGGGATGCATTAACAGAAGTATGACTTCCAAATCACGAGAAGTTGTAGTTCCTCTATAGTCCTCACTAGTCAGACCTCTCCTGGAATACTGTGTCTAGTTCTGGGCACCAAGTTTTAAGAAAAATGCAGGTAAATTAGAAAGGGTCCAGAGGAGGGTGACAAAAATTATCAGGGTTTGGAAACACTGTCCTGGGAGGAGAGACTGAGAGAACGGGGCATGTCCAGCCTTGAGAAGAGAAGACTGAGGGGGGACATGAGATCCCTCTATTAGTCCCTCAAAGGCTGTCACAAAGAGGAAGCCAAGATCTCTTCTTGCTGATGCCAGCGTGCAGGACACGGAATAGTCAGCTCAAGTTGTGACAACCCAGATTCAGGTTGGACATCAGGAAGAGCTTCCTCACAGTCAGAGCAACACAATAGTGGAACCAGCTACCTGGAGAGGTGGGGGGCTCTCCCACACTATGGGTATTCAAGGTGAAACTGGGCAGCCCTCTGAGGGGATGGTGTAACGTGGTGTCCTGCAACAGCAGGGGGCTGGACTCGATGGTCTTCATGGCCTCTTCCAACTCTACTATTCTATGATTCTGTGATTCTCCAAAATGGAACTCTGCCCTTGGGGTGGAAGAGCTTCCATTGCACAGTCCATGCACTCTGTTCCCTGCTTCCTTGTGAGTAAGCCACGCCAAACGCTGCATGAGGTCTCAGAGGGGGCCCGCCAAGGATTACGCTGCCAGCATCTCAGCCTTACTCTCCTTCATGAATTTGTTGCAAGGAAAGAATGGGGGAGAATATTGTATACTGGATGCCCCAATATTTGTGCAAGCACCCGAAAAGATCTCCTCTTTGCTCTTTCCCAGTTTCCTTAATGACAGCAAGCAACTCCTTCACATTCCTGTTCCAGATTCTCCAGAGGCAAAGATCTTCCCACACTTTAGTGACATTTGCCACTTTATCGGTGAGTAAATCAAGACAGGCATCTCCTCCTACTTGCACTACGTGGAATGAAGCAAGGCACTTAGGGCCCAATCCTAAGCATGTGTAGGCAGCCGAAAGGTAGAATTCCCAGCATTCCCCAGCCAGCAATGCTGGGAGCGCTACGACCTTTTTCTAGGTCTAAACATGCGTAAGGTTGTGACTTTAAACTTGGCCATGTCCTCAAATTCCTGCACCAGACTTGTTGGTTGTGGCTTGCCTGCAGGAAGTCCTAACACTGGAGCTCATGTGACCCAGGGGCCCCTCCCCAGCTAATGGCAGAGTGGTGCCCCTCCAGTCCGAGACGTCCTCTGGACAGCAAAGGAAGCTCAGAAAGCTCAGTGTCTGTCTGCCTGCCTGCCTGGCTGGCTGGGTGAAACTTTTCCTTCTAGATCTTCCTTCTGTCTTGTAAACTTCCCAGAGCCTATGGGAATGGGATGACATATACAAATAAATGAATAAATAAATAAAATCGATAAGACCCAGGTGTTCCTACCTGGCTGGGCTCACGCAAGGCAGAACGTTGAGGATCTCCGTTGAGCCATACTGGGCTAAGCGAAGGCACCACCTCAAGGGAGAGGAACCCCTTCCCATTCCATAGAGGCTCTTGGGGGCTGCCTTTGCAGGGTGGAGCCAGAGGAGAAAAGGATGTGGCCCAAGATCCCAAATATGCAGGCTTAATTCAGCTTACCCCTCTTCCTCCCAGAAACTAAGGTATAAGAGAGGCATTTCCATTTTTCAGAATGAGGAGAAATGTGCAGTGATGATAAGATGACGAAAAAGTAGTCGGGGAAAAGGGGCCAGGGAAGCAGGAGAAGAAATCCCGTCGGAACCCTATTGGGATGCTGAGAGAGCCATTTTTGGCCCATGGCCCTAAGGTTCCCCTATAATCTCATCCACAACAGGCCTGCCTCATGGACTCAGGAACCCCTGATCCACAGGGCCTCCACCGTGGCAGGCATCTGCTGATCACCAAGTCTGAGCACTGGTTCAGGACTTGCACTGTCACACCAGATACAGGTCTCATGAGGAGACAGAGTTGTGTATCAGCAGCCTGTGGAGGGTTCTTTGCTCCAGATCCCCCCACTGACTGCTCCCGGAAGCGGAAATGTGGTCACCCGTGGTTATTCCCTGGAGCCATCAGAACACGGCCCTTCTGAATGCCTGATCCACAGAGCTGGTCCGGGAGAATCAGTGATGTCAGAAGCGGGTGAGAGACCGAGCAGAATTAACGTTCCTGCACTCTCTCTCCCCTCCCCACATTAGTGTTCCTCCATCGGGGCAACTGAGTCTGGTACATGCCCATCACCAGGCCGAAATCCAGACTCAAACGAGTCCAGATACACACATCCAACAGGAGCAGCACCCGTGACATGAGTCGAGAGAAAAAGTGAAGCCAAGCAGTAACCTTCCCGCAGGGGTTTGGCTTTCCCACCTGTGTCTGGGCCAATATGAAAGGGATGTTTCTCCTCTGTTCAGACAATCACATTCACAAGGAAGCAGTCCTGGTTTTCTCCACCTTGGGGATAAGTCGAAGCAGCACAGTGGTCATGGCGTACCTCATCCATTCCTGCAGGCTTTACTTAAAGGTAAGGAAAAGGTTGCACATGGTGGAACCTGGAGGAACCAGCAGGAATGGTCCTGATGCGATTTTGGAATTAAAGTCAACAGTAAACTTTGGAGAATCGCCTGTATAAAGTGATGCTTTTTTCCCATTTCTAGCCACCTGTTCACCTCACAAGTGGTGGCTGTAAAAGCCCAAATGGCTACAGCCAGTGAACAATTGCAAATGTCATGGAGAACTCCCAGGGCCCAGTCAGCATAAGGAGCCCATCTTGCAGCGTCTGGAACTCCTGCTCCATCCAAAAATTCAACCTTTTCTTGCTGCCTAATATATGCCTGCCTCCTGAAACCCCTCTCTCACTTCCTTCCGATCCTTCCTCAAAACCTTTTTTCCATGAACCCCCAGCCTCCCATCCTTGCTGTCTTTGAGGCTAAGTATTCAGAAAGGCAATCCTTGTATTTTCCTTCTGCCTCAATTTTCCTCCCCTCCCTCTGTAGCTTCTTTCCTGTCTATTTCTAGATCAGCTGTCCTCCACCTGGTACCTTCCCAGTGTGTTGGACTACAGTGCCCATCACTTCCAGTCAGAATGGTTTAGGGACTGATGTGACTGGCAGTATCTCTCCAGTGTCCCAGGCAGAGAAATGGGGGTCCCTTTACCTTTTCGCCAGAGAGAGAAGGGCTCAAACGTTTGACCTTCTGCATGAGCTATAGCCTTCCCCAGTCTGGCTGGGGAACCCTCCCGTACAGCCCTCCAGTTCCCAGAATCCCCCAGCCAAGGTGGCCCAAGCAGTTGTGGTGGGCTTTGAGCCCATTTCAGGGCTGAGCATTTTCCCTGACCAAGATCCTCCACGCCGGTTTCCTCCTTCCCTCATTTTCTAGGAGCCAGGTTTGCCCCAGTTTCTGACCCCCTTTCACCTCCTTGCTTGTTTTGTAGAATGCTTGGACCTACGTCCTGAAGTGTAAAAGTAACATGCGGCCAAACAGGGGCTTTGTGCAACAGCTTTCTGAATGGGAGGAGCGGATCTACCTTACTGCAATCACTGATATCTCTGAACCGAATTATTGACCCACCACGGCTCCGGAAACATTGCTTTGTGGGGCAGCTTCCTTCCTTGAATGCAGTTCGGTTAGCGCTGGCTGATGGGTGGCTGGGGGATGGCAAAAGCTACATCTCAAGGCTGTTAAAAAAAATAGCTTCCCCTTTTGTGTTATTGTCCCGTTTGTATTCTCATGCTGTTCTCTGCCCTTTGTACAGTGTTGAGTGAAGTTTGCATTTCTGTTTGTGTTATTCAAAAATAAATACATTACACTTTCATTCTTTATCATGCTGTCAGTGTCAGAAGACTCTTGGATTGGCACGTTTCTGTCCTGTTACTTTTAGAGAGCAGTCCTCTGGACCCTGGCCAGTCTGGGTCGGCATGGGAGGTTCCAGATTCCCGAATCCAAGGTCAGAGACGGTGCTTTAACCAGATCTGGGAAGCTGAACTCCTCCATCTTGCAGCCGGCATGATGCTCCTTGGGGTCTGGAGAGGAACCCTGGAAAGGATGGGAGGAGACTAGAGAGGCCAGGAAGTCCTCCTCCTCTCCCTCTCCAAAATTCTCAGACTAGACAGGCAAACTATGTAGGGCAGAGGAGAGAGGGTGACTTTGAGCCTCTGAGTTCAGGGATTTGGGGTATCACAACAGGGTTAAACCCTCAAAAGGTTTATGTTCCAGCTTTCAGCAAGAACTTTCAAAGTCACTAATAATGCAAATGTGAACCTCAGTGATCAGTGATGATAAACTGAAGCAAGAAAGTATTTTAAACTATAAAAATAAGACAATGGCAGTGAAATGGGGAAAATGACCATCTACTGTAACCCACCCAGGGAGCCATGTGGCTAGTGAGGCGGCTTAAAATCTAATTAATAATAATATTGTATATTAAAAGCTTGGGGCTATAAAATCATTTTCCCTGGCTCTGCACGTTTCACAATAATGCTGCCAGCACCAAAGAGCACACTGGGGGCCCAAGTGTGGCTTGTAAATCCCATCGGCTCATGTCAGCCCGGACAAGGGTGGGGGATGATGGGAGCTGTGTGCCAGGATATCTGAAGGGCGATACAAGTTGCCCACACTCTGCAGCAGGCAGCGATTTTTAAAAAAAGCATTATTGAATTTACAATTCAATGTATAAAATAATATATATTCAATATGTGTAGCAGTCAGAGTGTTCTAGTCCCCACTCAGACACTGAAGTCACTGGGTGGCTTTGGGCCAGTGACCAGCTCTCAGCCTGGTGTTTGTGAGGTTCAAAGGGAACGGAGAACTTTGTGAACACCTCCTTAAGAGGATAAAAATATAATCATCATCATTAAAAATTTGAATATGAAGTAATAGCGAAAAGTGCCAAAATAAGTAACTAAATAAAATATAAATTTAACAATTATTATAAATAATATATTACAAATATATTTTATTGAACATTAATCAGTGTTATTATTGTTATCAGTATTGATTAATAATGGTAACATTAACATTAATAACACAACATATTAAAATAAACATAATTTAACATAAATTAAGATGGAAATATATTTTAATATGATGTAAGATGTAAACATTTATAAGGATTATAAACATAAACATATTTATATTTAAAAGATATAAACCCTACCCCTAATCAAACGGTATAGAAATGCTTTAAATAAATAAATATAGTTTAATTGTGGGGGAAGGGCGAGGATCCCTCGAGCCCCGCCCCTCCAAGCCCGCCCCCGCCCCTGGCACCGGTCGCCCTTGGCTACGCCCCGCCTCTCTGCCTTCCTGAAGCGGCCGCCACCCATTGGCTGCCGCGCCGCCCGGCCCCGCCGCCGATTGGCGGAGCGCTCTCTTCCGGAAGCGGTATCTCGCCCCCGCGCCCGCCCGCTCGGAGGGCCGCCGGCCTGGCTCGGGTCCCCCGTCGCCTCAGACGCCGCCATGAACTTCCGCGCCTCGGTCGGCGAGTGCCTGCGGGACTGGGAGGAGCTGCAGGACAGCTTCCAGCGCGTGCAGGTGAAGCCCCCGCCCCGGAGGGGCGCCGAGGGCGTCGCGCGCCAGGATTGGGTCCGAGTGGCTGCGCCGGCGAGCAGCGTCTCTGGGCATGTGCAGAGTGTTGCCTGCCGGTGGCGGGGGCGGCATCTTCGGCTACTGCTGCCGCGGGAGGCGTCTGTGGCATATCTAGAGCATGTGTGAAGAGCGTGGCTCTGGGCCTAGGCAGAGCGCGTTTCGCTTCAAGGCTCTTAGTCCTACCCATGAGGACTAGTAGATATCGGTAGGCTTTTCCTCCATGAATTTGCCCAGTCTCCTTGGAGAGCCGTCCAGATGGGTAGCCAGCTATCCTGACGGCTACCAGTCGGAATGGCTTTAAAAGAGAATCAGGCAGAGTAATGGGAAAAACGGCTATCGAGGGCTGCTAGTCCTCATGGCTACGGGAGAGAAAGTGCCAGTGCCTGCGGGTTCGTGAACGGGGAAGTGCTGCTGCATTCTTGTGTGAACAGGGTGCCGGGCAAGGTGGACCTTTGGTCTGATCCCTCCTGGCGTTCAAGTGCCTTGAGTATGTACAGCGGGCTTTCGCCTGCTGGCGCTGTTACCTGTTTTTTCAAGGATGGGGATATCCTGCCACCCCCCCAGGGAGCGCAGGGTGATCTCTTCCCTTTGCCCTGTCTCCCCACACCCTTGTTTCACTTTCACAACTGCCCTGTGAGGAAGGATGCCCTGAGTGTGAGCACGTGTAATTGGCCAAAGGGCACTCTGAGCTGGCCGGCTGCACGGAGACTTGAACCTTGCTCTCCCAAGCCCATCTTTCCCCAGGCCTTGGACTACAAGCCTTGGGTATTCGCCAGTCCAAGAGGGCCCCTGGTTTGGGGAGGCTTCCCTAGCCTGAAATGGCTTAGCCTTAACCACTGCAGTAATGTGCGTCTGTGAAGAGAGTGTCATTTCTTCCTTATTGATACTGTGTATGTGAAGTGACGGGGCTCTCTGAGCCTGCACAGAGTGCTTTTCCTTTGTGTCATCAGTGTGCACATGGAGCAGAAACACCCTGGGCCTTGTGCAGAGGGTGTCCGTTGCCCACCATTTCTCTGCTTGAAGAGGACATGTTTCTTCTGTCGCTGTTTGCATCCGAATACCAGTGTGCCTGAGCATACGCAGAGTGCTTCCCCCAGCAACATAGGAGACGTCAGTTGTGAGCATGCTTCACATACTCATTTGAGTGATATCTCAGACAGCTCCATGCTGCCAAGATGGGCTGCCCCTTCTGCTGGATTGCTTGGTAACAACATCAGGAGAAGGTCTTTGCCTTGATCGAAAGGATGGGCAAGGGCATCAGAGGTCATCTAGTCCACCTCCCTGCCCCAGGCAGGAATTCTACATTTAAAGCACCCCGGTGAAGTAGCCATCCAGTCTCTGACTGAACAGCTTCCATGGCAGATTTACACGGTAGCCTGTTGAACATCTTGTAGGGCTTCTTCTATCCCCTTTTAGCACTTCAAACTGCATGCGAGTTTCCCAAAAGTATCTGCTTGGCCGCTGGGAAGGAAGCCTCTGGTTGGAGCCAGCTGCCTCTTTTCAGCTGCCTGCTTTCCTTTCTTCCTTCCCTGCATGTTGAGAGGGGGACCGTGCAGATCAGAACGACGTTTGCACAGATGTTCGGCACTGGCTCTGCAGAGTATAGTTGTGGTGGCATGATTCTATGGGGCTGAGAGATCGTCCTTGGCAAGGAGACCCAGAGGGAAAGCGGTGTGCGGGGATGGCCGTCCTGATGGGAACACCCCCTGGAGCAGCCTGCTGGGAGACTTGGGGAGAGACAGAAGGATGGACTTCTTTGCACAGGGCATAGGAAAGCAATGAAACTCTGGAATGGGCGTCACGGCCACCAAGGAGGGGAGACCCCTTTGTGGGGGAGAAGGTTGTCACTGGCTACCAGTCGTGGTGGCTGTGGATGGCCTCCAGTATCCAGAGAGTGTGCCACTTCCGGGGGAACACAGAGGGACTGGTGCCCAGTGTCTCCACTGCGGGCCGCTAACAGGAAGCTGGTGGGCCAGATGTGCCCTGCTCTACTCCGCAGGGCTGTTCTGTTCTTTCCAAGGAAGGAACTGGGAAAGCTGGGTGGCCTGGGGGGCTTGCAAGTGGCATGCAATGGCCTGAAGACCTTGAGACCCCGATTTCTGAAAGAGTACCATCCCCTTTACCTGCCTGCCCAGTCACCGGGGTCACTGGATGGGGTACACCAGGTGGTTTCCTCATAGACCGGTGGCCTTGTCTGCCTGGAGAATTGCCTTCAGTGAGGTGGCTCTGCTTTCCTGGAAGGAGGTGCTCTGGAGGTCAGGCAGAAGCCAGCATTGTGTTGCTTCGATGCCTCTGAAACCCTCTTGTTTCAGGAAGCCTTTCCACTCTAACCAGCCGTGGGTTTTATTGATTCTGTTTTAACCCTTTGCTTTATTTCTTTTATCTCTTTATCGTTCACCCCCCTGGCATCTCTATCTGGCGCAATATGTAGATTTTAATTCATTCATTCATCCAGTACTGGGGACTGGAGAGCAATAAGACATGTGGAGCAAGGCTTCTAAGAAACGGTGGAAGGCTGGCCTGATTGGTGTAGTGGGTAAGCGTGTCGGGCTGGGACTTAAGAGATTTGGGTTCAAGTCCTCACCCATGGAGCTCACTGGGTGACTTTGGTCCAGTCACAGACTCAGCCCAACCTACCTCACAGGGCTGTTGTTGCAAGGATAAGACAGAGAGGAGAATTATGTAAGCTGCCTTGAGCTTCTTGAAAGGAGAAAAGACAGGATATATATTTAACAATTAAGCAAAAGAGCTGCAAAAGGGGTGAATGCTATTTTAGGTCACTTTGATAGAAGTATCACTTGCAGATCCCATGAAGTCCTAGTTCCCCTTCTCTCAGCGACGGTCAGGCCTCATCTGGAGTCCTGCGTCCAGTTCTGGGCTCCACAGCTGAAGAAAGATGCAGGCAAAATGGAAGGGGATCAGAGGAGGGCAGCAAGGATGACCCAGGAACGGGAGACAAAACCCCGTGAGGAGAGAGTGAAAGAACCGAGCTTGTTAGGCTCGGCAATGGAATCAGTGACCCAGGGAAGCTGTGGGCTCTCCCACACTGGAGGCCTTCAAGGGGCAGTAGGACATCTGGCTATCTAGTGGTCCTGCGCGGAGAAGGGGGTTGGGCTCAATGACCTTCTGAGCCCTTCCAACTCTCCTACTTCATGAATCCATGATTCTAAATAAACATGTGCTCAAAAGCCTCAGAACCTGCTTTGTACAAAGTGTGGTTCTGCGTGCATGAAGAGTTTCCCTGAGCATGGACAGAATGTCCCGCTTGCTCCTGAGCTCCATTCGTTGGACTTTGCAGGCCAGCTGAGTGAAACGCTGAGAACTAGAAGAGTGTTTTGAGGGTGGGGAGGGGAAGTTTGGGGTCCTTCCCAACACAGCAAGTATTTGAGTTTACACCTTTATCCGATTTTCGGCAAACAGTCCCGTGTGGGTTTTGGTCAGTGAACAGGTTCAGTCTGGGCTGATACACCTGTTGGGCCGCCATGACTGGCTGCAAAGCAAGGCGGGCGCACTTGGTGTGTTTCAGAGGAATCCTGCGCAGGAGAGAAGGGGCGATGCGCATGGAAGTAGCAAAGCGTGCCTGATTGCGCAGAGGAAGCGAAGAGGGCTTTGCAGGCGGGTTTAGTCTCTTCAGGCTATCACATTTTCACAGTTTTGGAGGAGAGCGTGCGAAGCACGTGTGTTGCTGTTGCGTTTATATCCTGTGCCTGTGACCGCCTCCTTGCAGTTGTGTCCTCACAACAACCCTGTGGGGTAGGTTAGGCCAAAGAGCCAGTGATGGCCCAAAGTGAGGTTTGTGGCCAAGTGAGGACTACCCAGACCTTCCAGGTCCCAGTCCAACAATGTCACTTTTACGCCACGGTGGCTCTGCAGTTCTAGACTGCCAGTTTATGCAATATTCCCTTTTCTCCTCTCCATTTGATCTGCACAACCAGCCCGTGAGGCCGTGAGGTTGAGAGCGGGTGGCCAAGCCACGCAGGGAGCCTCCTGGCTGTGCCTGGAACCTCGGGGGCCTGCGCCAGTCCGTGTTGCCGGGACAGGAAGGCAGGGTGGCCTGATGGGATGGAGTCCTTCCAGGCATTTGGCAGCAGGGTGACGAAACCTTAATCGAGCCTTTGCTTTTTCTCATGATTGTTCAATGTCATTTTGCGTGTCCCTGTGTTATATGCCGATATGTCCGTCTGTATATGGTTTTTCCAACGCATTTGTTAAGGTTTTGATCTTTGTAAATCAGCCAGAGAGCAATAGCTTATTGGGTGGCTCAAGAGGAGAATTAAAGCATCAGATGGAAAGGTTTTGGTAAGCTGACATCTCTGCTCCCCTGGCATGCGAAGGACAGTGAAAGCGAGTGAGAGGGCACCGTGGAGCTGGCCATGCGGGGCCGCTCCTGCTTGGCTTCGAAAGAGTGACAGCTGTGCTCGCTTGGCCACACACCAAACACTGCCCGTCCTTCCGTCTGGACAAATGAGAGCGGTTGCTTGTTCTGCCGCATTTTGCAAATAACCTTTCTGCTAATACGCGTGGCACAAGGGGCACCTCCACGCCAGTGCTGGGCACTCCCGCACCATCTCTTTAGAAAGCTGTGTCTCTGTCAGGGAAACCCCGGCTCTCGGTGTTGTCTTCACACACACAAACACATGCTCAGAATGCCTGACCTGATGCCCTTCACATGGTTTGAGCTTAAGTCCCCCCCCCACCCCCATCCCAGCCCCTGCGGCTGCAGTTGGGCGCAGTGGAGCCATTTTCTGCAGTGCAGCTTTGCCAGGCATCTGAGGCAGGAGTGAGGAAACTCTCAACCTGAGGGTTGAGCTGAATTTCAGAAAAGCCCCAGTGGGCCCATGGATCTCCTCTCTTGGTGTCTGCCAAGCACCTGCCCTCACTGATTCATTTCTCTTTAACTTGTAAGATGTTTTAAATTTCTGCCTTGAACTTTTCTGCCCTTCACACTCTTTGTTTGGGTCCAGAAGAGCATTGTTTGTGCTTTGGAGCTCAGACACCACCTCTGCCCTGCGCTTGGTTTTTGGGACAAGCTCCTTTCCTTACTGAATTGTGCTCTGAGGGATGGAAGGCTTTGCAATCAGCCTTCCCACCACGGCAGCCAGTCAGCGGATGGTCAGGCCCCCCACCTCCATGGAGCCATTTTGTGAGAGCGCCTGCAACACGGTCAAAATGCCAGATGTGACCAGCAGCCCAAAGAGATGGGGGGCCCCACATCGTGGGCTAAGCAGTGATAGACTGCCTGTGGTAGAAGTGTAGCCCAGAACATTTGGGGCAGGCTTGGAGAAAGCGGTATTCAGCTGTTGTGTTGCGGGAGAGGGAAGGAGGGAGAAGAGGAAGGTGTCGCCTTTCTTGGACTCATTGCCAGCCCTGGAATCTAGCAAGGCTGGCTGAGAAATGATGTGAGTTGTAGGACCTTTTGTGCTGAAATATGCAGAGGCTGCTAGGACCTTGTTCCGTCAAAACATGCATGGGATCGTAGGATTCTTCCCTGCCTGAACATGCATGAGTTTGGGTCCTGACCACTAATCTGCATGGCCTTAAAAGGGGATGGGGCGGATGCATCAGGGAGGGAGCTATCCTTGGCTACTAGCCTGGCTAGCTGTGGGCTCCCTCCTTCTCCCGAGGTGTCGTGCCTGCACACACCAATGGCTGAGGAGCTGAGCAGGCAGGGGCCTCGCACTCTTCCTGCTGGCCGGATCCTGCAGGCAGCTCTGTGGCCGCCACGCGAACGGAGTGCTGGACTGGCTGGACGGTGGCTCTGGCCCAGCAGAGTCTTTGTCTGTTCTGACTTGCCTTTTCTGCTTTTGCTCTCTCCTTTTTGGCTAGGAGACCCACAGGCTGTACCGACAGAAGCTTGAAGAGCTCACAAAGCTCCAGGGCGGCATTGCCAGCTCCATCACGCGGCAGAAGAGGAAGCTGAAGGAGCTCTCCCTGGTCCTCAAAAAGTAGGCTGGGAGCCACCCGCGTGGCTGCAGCTGCCGGGTGGGCCCCGTGCGCCTTGGTGGCACGCAGCGGGCTGGCGTTGTCTCATTGCGTAGCTCAGTGCGCCAGGGGCGCCTGCATTTCAGAGCCCTTGGCCCAGCCAGGCCACTTGCCCTCCAGATGTGCTGCACGGCGCGTTGTGGTGGGGGGGGCTGGGAGCTCTTGCCCAGCACATCTGGAGGGCAGCAAGTTGGGGGATGCCCTCGCAGGACCACACGGCTCCTCCCGTGTGCGTCTGCTTCAGCCCCCCCTTCTCACACCACGTGCCTTTCTCAGGGCTGTGTTCCTTCTCCCCCCCCCCCCCCGCCTCGCTCCCAACCTCTCCCCGAATCCAGATGCAAGTCCGCAGTCGGCAGCGCAGAGGAGAAAGAAGGCGGCACCATCCAGGAGCTGCAGAGCCTGATCAAGGAGCGGCAGAACGTCTTCTTCGACATGGAGGCCTATTTGCCCAAGAAGAACGGGTAGGGGGGTGCCAGCGGTCCCCGTGACTGGGGGGAGGCATGGCGGGGGGCTCCTTCTTCTCCCGACAATGGCCGGCCCCATCCTTCCTGTGAAGTCTGCAGGTGGGGCCTTTTCTCTCTCTTATCCTCACAACATCCCTACGAGGTAGCTTAGGCCAAGAGTGAGGGCCCTGCTGAAAGACACCCAGTGAGCCTCAGGGCCCATGTGGGCCTAGAACCCAGTTCTCCCGAGTCCCAGTCCAGCACTGTAACCACTGGGCAACAGTGGCGCTCACTGTTTACCCCAGGCTTCTGGTCTCCCGAAGTCGACTGCTTTTCAGCACGAGTGGGTTCAAGGGCCTCAGAACGAGCTGTTCTCTGCACGAAGGACAGTACTTGGTCCAGCAAGACCCTTGTTCCGCTTTGCATCCGGCCTGCTTCTCCTGGGCATCTGCTGTTCTTATTGATAGGCCCAAGCACAGTCGCCTCAACTGGCATGCTGTTCTCCGAGCTGTGGCCAAAGGGAACGTGAACTGTCCCTGGATGCTGGCAGCACACCTGGTTACGGAAAGGAAGGCCGCTGCTTCGGGGGCTGTTTCGCGAGGAGAAATGGCAAGGGCGGGAGGCACGGCAGTGGCGTGTAGAGGAAGTGGAGCGAAAGTCCTCCCTCCCTCCCTCCCTCCCTCCCTCATGATACTAGACCTCCACTGGGCCACCCCATAGAAATAACGGTGACCACTTGGGGACGGTCAAGGAAGGAGCCCCGTCACAGGCCTCATAAACGGTGGGATTCGCACCACAAGGCAGAGTGCTGGCCGCCAACTTGGATGGCCGCGAAAGGACACTGAACCCCTTCATCGAGTGGAAGGCTATCCAGGGTGACTAGTCCAGAGGGCTGCATGTGGCCTCCAGGCCCAGAAGGCAGTGGGCCCGTGTGCGCTGGTCACTGGGGAACATGGGCGGGAGGTTGCTGCCGCACTCGTGATTTGCCGGTGGGGTTCCCATTGGCCGAGGTGAGGAGGTGGCACCGGAGGAGATCCTTGGTCTCACCCAGAGGGCTCTTTCCCGTGTTGCGTCCCATGCGGTGCCGCAAACCGCCTTGCCAGCTGCCGGTTTAGATACCCTTGGAATATGGCAGCCGTCCTCTCAGGGCGGTGCTGCCTGTGTGCATTCATTCCTCTGCTGTCCTTTGCCACCCAGGCTGTACCTGAGTCTCGTGCTGGGGAACGTGAACGTCACGCTGCTCAGCAAGCAAGCCAAGTACGTACTTGTTGTGCTTTTCAGAAGCAGAAACATTTGGGCTTTTTAAAAGTCTCTAAAAATGCCGCCATGTGGACTAGAAACTATTTGTATTCTGCTAGCTGGTTGGTGTGTTTAATAATGTAAAGGCTGCTATTTCCTGGAATTTTTTTTCAAGCTGAATCCAGATTTTTAAAAAGCAATATTTAGAGGTGGGAAACGCCATTTCTATTCTGTGTGAGGGGGGGAAATGAGGAATGCTTCTTACAAGAAGAGGAGATACCATGCACTTGTCGCTGGGGCTGGGCAGTTTTAACCCCGCAGATGTTCTTGGATTGCAGCTGCCCTTGCCATTGGCTATGGGGCCGATAGGCATTGTAGTTCAGCAACATCTGGAGGGCCACAAGTTGCCTGTTTCTCTTTCAAAATGGTTGTGTCTTCTCTGCCAGAAGCAGGCAGGTTCCTAAATGCTGGCATAGCTCCATGGAGGAAGGGCCACCGTTCTGCTGATGGAGCCCTGCCATCCCAAAAGCCCTTCTCCCACTCGGGTCTCTGACACACACCTCCCCCTGCCCCCACCCCCAGTGTGGCATCTGTAGAAATGCCTCTGCTTTTACTCTCTGGACAGGGTCCTGTGAAAGGCCCCTGGTTGGCCTGGTGGGTGGGGGACCCCCAAGCCCCCAAGGGTGGGTGCCCGGCTGAGCATCACTGCCTCCTTTCTCAGGTTTGCATACAAAGATGAATACGAGAAGTTCAAGCTGTACCTCACCATCATCCTGCTCATGATCTCCTTCACCTGCCGGTTCCTCCTGAACTCCAGGTGAGTCTGCAGCCCTGAGCAGCAGAGGAAGTGCCCCGACACCCATTCCCAGGCTTGCCTGCTGCCTCGGCCGGGCTGCTTCAGGGGCTGGTGCCGTGAGCTGTGCTCCACGGGGGCCGTGCGGGGAGGCTTCTGCCAAAAGCAAGGCAGCGAGAGGAATGGGCAAGGCAGCGGCGCAGAAGCCATCAAGGCAGGCCCCTGAGCCCGTCCGGGGGATGTGCCTTCCAGGGTCGGGGAGGGTCCGTGGGATATCGCGCCCGGACGAGGTCCCCCCCGCAAGCACTGATGCGTGTGGATGCCCTCCCAAATCGGGCTAGAGAAAACGGAGACAGAGGCCTTCCCTGCAAGGGGGCAGTTTGGCCTGCAGGAGACCAGGCCTACCTCAGGCCTGCCACTACCACTGCCGAGGCGAGCAGGGGGGCGGGGAGCGCTGCTTTTTCACTGTGTTTGCCTCCCGTTCTGCACCAGTTGGACGACTGCCCAGGGATTGTGACCAGTTGAATTAGTGCCTGCCTCTGATGCAGATGTGAAGTCCTTGGAGGACTGAACATTGGGGCTTGCCCCTCCAGATGCCTTGGACTAACACTCCCATGACCAGCCAGGTCAGCTGGGGCATGCTGGGAGTTGTAGTCCAAGACAGCTGGAGGGAGTAAGCTTGGGGAAGGCACCTAAAAATGTCTACACTGGGAGTGGCAAACCTAGGGCTCTCCACATGTTAAACTCCCAACTCCCATCTGCCTGAACCTCAGATTACCAGAATTGCCACTTCAGTGAGTGGTAGTTGTTACTGCCACTGTCGGACAAATGCTTGCCTTTTCTGGGCAAACCTTTGTGTTTTTAAATGTTTTAAGTGAGCTGTTTTGTGTGTTCCCGGCATACACGCACACCCGGAGTGCGGATTTCTTTGGAGGGCAGGTGGGGTGCAGCTACGTAAAGGCACCATCCTGTGTGTGTGGGGACGGAAGGAAGCCTGCAGCTTCAGACTGTGTTCTGTCCAAAGGCACCCAGGATGGCATTCCTCTCCTCGTGTTTTCACCTGTGTGCGAAGCAGCTTCAGGACGCCTTTTACGTGCTGTGATGCAGGTAGCAAACTGATCAGACGGGATTGGCAATAAAGGGGGTGGTGATGCCTCTCCTTCTGCCCGTGCCAGGGTGACTGATGCCGTCTTCAATTTCCTCCTGGTCTGGTATTACTGCACTCTGACCATCCGGGAGAGCATCTTGATCAACAACGGATCCAAGCAAGTACCACCTCCGCGGTGTTTGGCATTTTACCAACCTCTTAGCCAGCAGTAGATTTTGCAGCGTACCTCTGAGGCGGCACAGCCTGGCTGCGCTTTTCAGGCCCTTCCCCAGCCTGAGACCTTTTGACAGGGTCTGTGGGAGCTGAGGCTGAGGCCTTCTGGGTGCAAATGCACGACATCCTATGAAACTCCGTGCCGATGCAGCTCTCCCGTGTGGGTCGATCTCCCAGTGTTTGGACCTTCTTTCCAGCCCCAGCAAGAGGCGGCAGAGCACAAACCTGTCCCCTCCCATAAATATTAACACAAATGCACGGAGCCACCTTCGTACCTGCTGGTGGCGTGTCCCGCCCAGGCGCCCAAAGGTCTTGGGCAGAGGTCGTTTCAGGCACTCCCCTCCCAGGATCCTTTGAACTGGAGTGCCCGCAGACTGGGCCTCGAACCTTCTGCCAGCACGGAGGAGGCACCGGGCGGCTTCTGTGTGGAACAGGCACGGGCTTCCTCCCCTGCCGCTCCCCAGGAGCAGCTTAGCAGCTTAGTCAGACCAGCATTCGGAAAACGAAAGCCAACGTTCTGCTGTAGCGCGCCAAGGATATGTGAGGAATCCAATGGGAAGGTGAAGATCTGAGGGGTTTTCACGATTGGTCCCTCGGATCCCAGTTAGTCAAGGCTATGCTTTCTCTGACCAGCTGTGGGGCGAGGTGAGCCCGCTCACAGAATTGTGCCGCTTAGGACAGGCTGCAGTTTGTGTGATTTTCGGACCACTAACGAAATTTGTACAAAAAGCACCCAAAGGCCACGTGGCTGAGCATGAATGGTGCAGAATCAGTCAGCCTTGCTCAAATTGCAGTTGGGGGCAACCACACTGGATCCACATGGCCCAATGCTATTTTAGAAAGTACATTCAGACCATGATCTGTCTGCAAAAGACACACCCCTGATCTTGTCTGATTCTGCTTAGGAGAGGACAGGAGAATTGCCCAGTGCCGCAAGCTGGGCTTTTCTGGCCGAGCGCCACCTTGCGGGGCCAGCCTCCCCCAGCCAGGCGCCCTCCACAAGCACGTAAGGGCAATTCCCTCGTTTCCCAGCCATTGGTGCTGCAGGGCCCCCATGCAGATGGCGCGGTGTTGTTCTTTAGAACTGCTTTTGCTGCAGCCCGGCCTGCAACCGGGGAAGCGGCTGCCCCAGCTGGCTGGAATTCTGGGAGTTGCGATCCGTGCCTGTGGAGGGTGCCTGGGTGGGGAGGCCCTGGGTGGGAATGGCTTGATGGGCCACCCTTGGGTCCGGGTGGCCTTTTGCTCCCTTCTCCTCCAGCAGAACTTCTCGAGCATTGCGCATGCTCTCTGACAAACTACAGTGGAATTACAGTCTTAACAACAGTGGCTCTTCTTTCTTCCCCTTTGCTGCCTCCACTTCTGTTTGCTCTCCAGGATTAAAGGCTGGTGGGTTTTCCATCACTACATTTCCACCTTCCTCTCGGGTGTCATGCTAACTTGGTGAGTCCTTGGCCGGAGAATCCCCCACCTGGCTGGCTCCTTGGATGGCTGCCGCAGACAATATAACACCCTTGGAAATGGCTGCCGGTGGCTGCAGGGGTGACGGAGGTGTCCGGTTCCCGCGTTGTTCTTGACTCTGCTGGCCCTGAGTCTTTCAGTGGCACAAGCAGGACATTTGGGGTGGGGGGGGCTGCAAACGATCGCTTTGTGCTGCATTTCAGAATCAAAACTAAAACTAAAAAAGAGTGCAAACAAAATGAGATGTTACGGTTTTCCTGCATGAAACTGGAGCAAATTTATTACAATGAACGCAAGGCATGTTATCTCCTCTGCTCTGTTTTGTGTATGGCGAGTGGGATTAAAGATGACTATGCCCAGAGCTGAGCCCAGGCAGGAGGTTGGTGGCCGTTTGCACATTGCGCCCGTGAATTGTTCACAGTGGCGAGCCGGGCCGTGCAACCTGCCCTGCTCGGGCACGTCCAGTGCATGGGGCCACCTTGAGGAGTGCTCCAAAGTGCCCACGGGGGCAGGATGTGGCACACGGCCCCTGCTTCGGTCGCCAGGCGCGCTCCAGGTGCAGTTGGAGGTCTGGGTTTTCACCTTCAAAGCTCTGTGTGGCCGATTAAGTTGAGCACTGTCTTACCAGTTTTAATGATCTTGTTTACTGTGCTGTTAGAGTGTAATTGTTTTAAATCGTATGCCACTTCAATGACTTTTAAGCAAATACGGTGGCAGTCTCTGGGGGGAGCATACCTAATGTGCAAAAGCGCATCTTGGACATGCATGCACAGTTCATTCTGTGTGTCTCTTGAATGACAGGCCATCCGTTTTTGCTCGATCCCTTTCTGAGAGCTGTCCAAACGCCATCTTTGAATTCCATGGGTGCCGTGCCAATTCCTTTCTTCCCTTCTCTTTTCTTCGTCCCTGCAGGCCAGATGGACTCATGTACCAGATGTTCCGAAACCAGTTCCTCACCTTCTCCATGTATCAGAGTAAGTTGGACTGCACTGAACGGAGGAGCCAACTGTGCGTCCAGCGAGGCTGAGCACCCTTTACGAACTGGGTGCCCTCTAGAGGCCAGGATTCTTGTTCTGGCTGGGGTTGATGGGAGTTGGAGTCCATGGCATCTGGAGGGCATCAGGTTGGGGAAGGCAGCTGTGGAGAATTGGGACGATGGAGTTTATCCAAGTGTGTTTTCATGCATGGGCGACGTGTAGTTTTTGTTGTCAGCTTTAGTTATTCAAGCTGAACCCTCCAGTCAGGGCAGGCTTCAAACTCCAAACAGTTTGGATTTCCTCATGAGATGGGATTTTATTCATTTATATCCCACTGTTTCCCCCCCTCCTGCTCCTCTCCATGTTATCTTCACAACAACCCTGTGAGGTAGGATGGACGGAGAGTCAGGTACTGGCTTAAAAGTCACCCAGCAAGCTCCATGGCTGAGTGGGGACTAGAACCCAGATCGCCTGAGTCCCAGTCCAGTGCTCTCAAAACTACACCACAGGACTGGAGTGAAAAGGGAGCAAGATGGGAGCTGGCAAGGCGGCCGTGCACGTGAGCCCTGGCTCTGCCGCTTGCATGTGCTGGGGTTGCGTGCACACATTCCAGTTTGTGCGCCTCCACCCCCGCTCCTCTGAGGATTAGAACGCCTTCTTTTGAAAACAAGCTAGCGAAGATACCACCTTAACACTTGGCCCTTATGAATGCTGTGGCCTTTTTATATTGCTATTGTATTGATTTTTTAAAGTGTTTAGTCTTTGACAGGTTTTAATGTGTTGTTGGGGGGGGTGTATTAAGCTGCCTAGGAAGGCCTTTTGGCAGTTATAGGTAGCCTATAAATATGTGAAGAGATCAAATCAGTCAATCCTAAAGGAAATCCACCCTGACTGCTCTTTAGGAGGTCAGGCACTAAAGCTGAAGCTCAAATACTTTGGCCACCTAATGAAAAGGAAGGACTCCCTGGAGAAGAGCCTAATGCTGGGAGCAATTGATGGCAAAAGAAGAAGAGGATGGCAGAGGATGGGGTGGCTGGATGGGGTCACTGGGGCAGTCGGTGTGAGCTTGGGTGGACTCCAGGGGATGGTGGAGGAGAGGAAGGCCTGGAGGAGTGTTGTCCATGTTGTCCATGTCCAGAGAGTTGGGCGTGACTTGTGACTGAACAACAACAACATAAATACGTGAATAAACAAGATCTCCAGAGGTCCAGGGTGCTGCAAAAGATCCCTGGTGCTGCTGGTCCCGTGTGAGCCGATTCTTCATCTGGGGAGCCAGGCTGTGGCAGCGTTGTGCCCACCGTGAGGGCTCACGGCATTCGGGGTCCTCCCAGCCAGTCTAGGGCAGTTCTGGGGGGGCAGCAGGCAGCACCCTAGCTCCTCGGGGCCTTCCTAAGTTGTTTCCTCTCTCGCCGGCCTTGCAGGCTTCGTCCAGTTCCTCCAGTACTACTACCAGAGTGGCTGCCTCTACCGGCTGCGAGCCCTGGGCGAACGGCACACCATGGACCTCACCGTGGGTAAGCGGCGCTGCGGCCTGCGCGCTCTCCCTCCGAGCGAGCCCTCCGAGGTGCTGGCGGAGGACGGAAGCCGAGCTTGTGGGGGAGAAGGGGAGGCCAAGCTGACGCCCCGAGGGCTATGGGAGAGCTCCTTGGAGGCAGCCTCTGGAGAGCAGCAGCAAAGCAGCCCTCCCACTTTCCCAGCGGGCTTCCAGGCAGCCACTGCGCTGCCCCCCAGCGGAAGCAGCACACTGGGCCAGGTGGCCAGAGGCGCCTCCAGTGTTGGAAGCACGGTGCTGGGTGGACGGCGGCTTTGCGCGTGGCTTAGCCCTTGCCTCGGGGTCCGCGGTTCGGGGGATGCCACTGCATAGCCGTGACCCGCGGCCACGTGTGTCTTCCCTGCAGAGGGCTTCCAGTCGTGGATGTGGCGAGGCCTCACCTTCCTCCTCCCGTTCCTCTTCTTTGGCCAGGTGCGTGTGTGGCGGCCCCCTCGGGGAGGGCCCCAGGGTTGTGGGGCACGGCGCTGAGGCCGGCAGCGCCCTGGAGCCCAAGGCGCCTCCATCTCCAGGCAGGAGTCTTGGGGGTCGCTGCCTGGCCCAGCCTGCCTGCGTGTCCCCGTCCGGCGAATGCCTCGCGCGGGTGGCAGCGCTGTGTTTGCCTCTGGCCGGTAGCCCTGCGGCAATTCTCTGCGTTCAGAGGCTGCTCCGGGGCCGTTCCTCGGGGCACAGACCTGCCCGCTTTCAGCGAGCCGTCTGGCAGCCTCCCACAGCCTTCCACTCCCCCGTCGTGGTGGGCTTCAGCACCCGCCGCTGTGGCCCGTGGACAGGAGTGCTGGGAGGTGCCGTCACACACCCTCAGAGGGGCCGGTGGGGGCCTCCGGTACCCGGCCGGGGTTTGAGCCGAGCACCTTCCCTGCCGCCTGAGCCGCTTTGCCAGGGCATGGCTTGGCACTGCGGCCCATGAGCTGCAGCGGGCACCGCACATCCCTGCAGTTGCTTCGCCCGCCTGGTGTCTCCCGGGCACTGCGGCCCCCCTGCTGCGCTCCGCTCCAGAAGGCCGGCATGCCAGCGCATGCCTGCGCTGCTGCTGTGGTGGGCGGAGGGACACTGCAGGGCGGGCAGCGCCTCCCGCTTCCGAATGCGCTGCGGGCAGCCCTCTGTGGCGTGTGCCCCCGGGTCGCACGGGGCTCTCGGGAGCTGGGCGTGCCTCACTCAGGCGAGCGCCACCTGCCAGTGCGAGGGAGCGTGCCTCTCGCTTCCCCGGCTGCTCTGAAACCGAACACCGGGGAAGAGCTTGGCCACCGCTCTGAGCTGTGCCCGCGTGTGGTGCTGGTGGGGCAGGGGGGCTGCGAGTGCGGGAATTGGGGTTTGTCCCCGATGGGCTGTGTTCTTCCAGAAAGGACAGGTGCCTGAATCGGGGGCGCTCCTGGGAGCCTCGTGGTCCCTGGAGCCCCAAGGGCCCCCTCTGGGGCTGGGTGTCTCAGCAACACGCTTTCCCGTGTTGCCGCACGCCCGCGGCTGCACGGCGCCCGACGTGGGGCTGCCCTTCCGCTCTGACCCAGAAGCCGCGGCTGGTGCAGAACGTGCGCCTCCCCTGCCGTGTTAATTAGGGGGTGTTCGTCGCAGTCCTTCCTCTCGGCTCCTGCCGGGAAGGCCGACCTGCAGGGGCAAGTCGCAGGCAGAGAAAATCGAGGGGGACCAAGCAGGAGATGGAGGGAGCCCCAGCCTGCGGAGGGGAGGGGACCTTTGGGGGCGCATTCGCACTGAGGGCGGCCGTATGGCGGGGAGGACTTGCGGGTGCCTCTCGGCAGCGACAAGCAAGGGCCTCGTTTCGCTGGAACTGCTGTTCAGCAACGATGTATCTCGGTGCATTTGAACCTCCTTGTAGATGCTCAGAGGTGGGCTTTGAGCAGGCAAATCGGTTGTAAGTCCAGGAACCAACCACAAGTCACGCCACGCCTCTCTCTTTTTCTCTCCCTCGCACCTGCCTGCAGTTCTGGCAGCTTTACAACGCCGTCACCCTCTTCCAGCTGGCCAGGCATCCGGAGTGCAAAGAGTGGCAGGTGAGGAGCTGGCGGGGGAGGAGGCAGGAAGCCGCTCTGCGTCCTGGCAGCCCTTCCGAGGGCTGTGGGCCCGTTTTAAGGGGCTGCCGTGCCTGGCTAACTCGGAGCGGGTCTGGAGAGGCCCTTGGGGCGGCCATCCTGCTTCCAGCCATGGCCCTTTCCCCACTGTGGGAGCTGCAGAGCAGAAGAGGCGGGGTTGCTTCCCGGCACACCACGCAAAGAGAGTTGCGTGCCGAGGAAGAACTCAGTGCCGCCTCAGCGCATCCCCGGGGGGGCCGCAGCCCCCTTTCACGGGCATCGTCTGGGCGTTTTCTCGCCTCTCTGCCATTCCATCTCCATTCCCTAAGGCCAATTGCTGGCAGCGGCTCTGAGCTTTCAGCTCAAAAAGATGGGGCAGGCCAGAAACAGCCACTTTGCTCTAGACCCCACCCCACGGCAGGGCAGCCCCCCAAGAGTGTCTCTGACTCTGTATCTGAGTGTTGGCTGAAAGGGTTCGATGGGTATTTGGGGGCCACTCTGGAACCTGGGGAAATCACCAGCTTTTTCGTTAGGTTGGGCTTTTGTTCGTGTCGACCCGGAATGGGGTGGACTGGAAACATGGAAACGCTTGGAAACAGGGCAGAGCGCTGTGCCCTGTTCATCCCTGCCCTGGATGGGGGCCCACGCCCCACGCCTGCCTTCACTGAGCCCGGTTTGTTCCCCTCGCTTGTCTCCCCGGTGGAGCTGCGCTTGACCTGGCCTGTTTCCTCCGGCAGGTGCTGATGTGCGGGTTTCCCTTCTTCATCCTCTTTGCCGGGAATTTCTTCACCACTTTGCGGGTTGTTCACCAGAAATTCCAAGCCAAGGCCAAGAGGCAGTAAGCGCGATCCAAAGTGCCTGGCCCGCCGCACGCGCCCCCCTCCCCCCCGCCGCCTCTAGCCCTCCAGTCGCCTTCGTCCTTCACTCGGCTGAGCAGTGTGGCTGCCCCAACCGGACAATCGACCTGGCGCCATGCGTCCCTCTTTTCGGCCCTCTTCTTCTGCCTCTTCTCGCGAACGGTGGAGAAAGGAGGCAGCACGTGAGCTGCGCTTCTGCCTTCAGCCCGAGGGCTTCCCCTCTCTTCCCCCGAGAAGGGCGTCCAGATGGAGGCATGGGTCTGAGCCGCCAGAGCACGCTGGAGAAGCGAAAGACACGTGGGACAGAGTGTTTGGCCACCGTTCTGCACCCCCTTTCCTGCCTGCTGCCAAAAGAGGGGCCCGCTGCCTTCCCGAGCCCCCGTCTACTTAAACTGGGGGGGGTGGAAGGGAGCAGGCGCGGCTTCGGCATCTCCGGCGCGCCATTCTGGCGTCCTGGTGTTTCTTCTTGCATCTGAGCCAGGCTGTGAGGAACCAGCCAACCCTCTCGTATCGGCCTTTTCCTCCCCTTCTCTGCATGGTTATGTCCGCCGTCATCTTCCTTCTGTGGGGGCAGATGGAGCATTTGGCCCCCAGCCTTGTTCATCCACCGCCCAGCGTCCCCCTTCATATCCTCTCCCTGCCCCGGATGTGATCACTGAGGGCTAGCCAGCTGCATGGAGCGGCGTGGCCCGGCTGGTGCCTTCCCTGGACTGGGCGGGGCGCACGGCTCCAAGGCCTGGGCATTTTTGGCGTTCGTTCGTGCGGCAACTCCGTGCAGGGCTCCGGAAGGGCTGAAGGCCAGGGTGGGAGCGCGCAGCGCTCTGGCCTCTGCTCGGCGCGACTCTTCTCTGGCGTGGCTCGGTGTGCGTACGTGAGCGTGACGCCGTGCTCTCCCGCCTGTGTCATCCTCTCCCACAAATGTACCCGTCATGAACAAGCTGGGAAATAAAAGGGAAATGGCTGCCGATGGGTCTCCGGCCTCGCAAATGATGCAGAGGAGCAGGCCCGTCCTCGCGTCCAGGCCAAGGGAGCCGGGCGGGTGGGCCGTGGGGTCTCCGCCGAATGTCGGGGTGGACGCTTCGTGCACATGCACGGGCCACGCCAGCCTCTCCAGGCTTCTGAGGGCCAAAGGCCAAAATGGCTCTAGCAGAGCAGCTGGAAGGCAGGAAAGCAGCTGGCCGGCGCCTCGGCCCTGCACCTTTGCCCACCTGGCCCGTCCGCGCCATGGCGCCACCGCTCGCGGAATTTGCCTCTTGGGTGGAGGGGGTGTAGAGCCCGATCTGAGGGGATCGCTAGATAGAACCCCGTTTTGCATGTCAGCATTGAAGAAAGCCCTGCCGCTTGCCACGTTAGAAGCCAGTCTGCAGGGCGCTTCCCTGGCCCCGGAGGGAATGCAGCCCGGGGGGGGGGGGGCTGCCTCTGTGGGCTGGCCCACTCCCCCTTTGGAGCCATCCCAGTGGGCGCCTCTTCTGGGAGCAAACTTGGCACATTTAGCCACGGGCTGTGTGGGGGGCTTCCCTGCATCGGGGCCGAGCTCCCCGCCTGGTGGGAGGACTGCTTTATATAGGCGAGAGAAGCAAATGGCTTCCTCTCCGGGTGTCGTTCTGCACCCGTCCCCGTCCCCTTCCCCCCCCTTTTTCGCAGCTCAGCCACCTCGGCTCCCGGCCCTTTATCTTTTTTACACTGGGGATGTTTTAAAAAGCACCACGAAGCAGCCCTGGTCCAAATGCAGAGCAAGGACACCCTTTCCACCGCCCCGGGGTGTCTTCGTGGAGCCAGTCGCAGCCAACTCGAAGTGGTGGGGCGGGACTGGAGGACATCACTTTACCCACATGGCCATTGACCCCCCCCCCGCCTTACGCCTTGTTATGGCGCAGTCCTTCCAGAGCGAGTTGATGCCTCAGCAACAGATACATGTAGGAGGAGGAAACTGATGCTGTGAATTTCCCAGAGGTGCCGGCCTAATCCCAGACGGGGGGGGGGGGGGGGAACCTGTGCGCTCTGCTAGTTGTGTTTTAAAAACACACACACACTCACTCACTCACTGCATTCTTACTGAAAAGGCTACCTTCTAAATTAAATTAGGTGTGGTCCCGTGAAATTAGCATTCGGTTCCTGACAGTGACCCCGTGGGCACCCATCACACCCCAGTTCAGCTACACAAGCGCGCGCACAAAGAGCCAGGAGGGGCCGGAGCAAAAGACTCAGGGATTGCTTTATTCCAAGAGCAAGCCTCTTTAAAATTATGTACATTCCGTGGACACCCTGCTCAGCCGATGCCCAAGCGCGCACGGGTCGTTCAGTGGTGGCAAGAGACGTGCCAAGACGGGCACCGCGCTACTGTCCCACTCGGGCCCGGCCTGGGATGCCCACGGTGAGGACAGCACCCGCACCTCACCCAGCAAGGAAAAGGGGCCGAGGCCCACGGCACTGGCTTAGAACTCGCCTGTCAGGAAGAGGCATCCCCACAGAAGGGAAGGGGGCTGCAGGAGGGCTTCTCCCGGCCTAGACGGAGGCGCCCAGCCCAGATTACTGCCGCCACTCGGAGCACAGAGGAGGGTGAGGATTCCGCCTGGCTGGCTGCTTCCGTGGCAGCTCTCCCCCACACTGGTGCTGCACGATCCCTCGCGCCCGCCCAGCTCCCCCACGCCACGGCCATTGCCCATCTGCTCCCCACAGTCCCCCGTGATCCCAGCAGCACAGGTGCCAGCCACATCGGGAACGTGCCACGCAAGAGCCGCTCCGTGGCTGTGGCAAAAGTCCCCGCGAGGCACCAAGTCCGCCAGAGCAGGCCGAGGGAGGGAGGGAGGGGAGGAGAGGAGAAGGGCCTTTGCAGCGTGCAAGCCGAGGCGGACGGACGGCGTTCCGCTGGCGGCAGCATCTGCTGTGCAGAGAAGGGGCAGGGGATGTGCGTCCGCCCAGAGGCCCCTCGGCAGCGGAGGGGGGAGGGGGCCGGAGTCCTCTGGCGCTTGGAGTCACTTGATGCCGCCCGACTTCCCGGGGAGGCGGCGCCCGAGGGACTCCTCTGGGGCACAGTGGCAAAGGGAAGGCATGGGAGCCAAGACGCGGCACGCGCAGAAGCCGGCCCGCCTCCCCCCGGCAGGGCCAGGGGTCCTTTCCTGGCCACCGTGGAAGCCCCTCCCCGGCGCGGCACGCCTGCCGGCCCCTAGCTCCAGACGTCCAGGGAGTAGCGGCCCTTAGTCATCAGCTTCTTCACGTAGTCCACGGCCTGCTGCTGGCTCATCTTGCCGAGCTCGGCCACGATCTCGTAGAAGGTGTTCTGCACATCCCGCGCCATGTTGCGGGCGTCGCTGGAAGGGAGGAGCGCAGGTGAGGGAGGCGCCAGCTTGGCTACAGGGCGGCCCCCAAAAGGGGAACGCCAGCACAGCTGGGAATGGTCTCGGGCCCACCGCAGAGGGGCTCGGCCCGGGGGGACCGGGCGTTGAAGCCCCCGCAGGAAGGAGGGGAACCCAACGTGGCCAGGGGGTGAGTGTATGCGAACGGAGAGCCGTCGCTGCTGGGATGCGCCCTCAGGCACCGGGTTTTCTCCCTCTCCAGAGCACCTCGGACACAAGGAGGTTAAGTCTACACTTGCCTTGGGGAAGGGCTGCAGCCCAGTGGCAGTCCCCCCCCCCCCGCTTGGCTCCCAAGGCGCTGCTCCCCGTCCTGGACCAGTGCAAGTCACTTCCTCCTCTCCTATTACAATCAGAGCTTGATTTGCAACCATGAGGACTAGAATGCTAATTTAGTTAGCGAAAGAAGCTTAGCTCTGCAGTGGAGCCCTGTCTTTCCGGGCTGAAGGTCCCAGGGTTGATCCTTGCAGCATTTCCCAGGAAGGGCTTGCAAAGAACCCTGCCTGAAGGAGGAGCTGGTTTTGGCCAACTGCAGGCCTAATGGTGAGAGTTCTCTGGCACTGCAGACCACCTTGAGGAATGCGGAGGGTTCTCACTGCCTGTGGAACTGTCTAGAGCACGTGGCCCGGGAAGGGTTCTCCAGCTAGGATTTCAGGATCCTCCTCGAAGGCCTCACCCCTGGCTGCTGGGCACTGGAGAGGGGCAGCCTTCTTCATGGTGGCCCCTGCCCGACCACATTTTGCATCAAGGGGCATGTGGCTAGTCCCTCCGGGCTTGGCAAACGCATCTGTTTCAGCTGGCTTTTAACTGGTGAGGTGGCTAGGAGGCGGGGGTGCTGAGTGGGCCAAGAACACGTATCCCGCACGTGCTCTCGGGACCAGGGCCATGCCGATTCGGTACCGAAGCGGTGAATTCCCACCCCGTGGTCTCGGCACAGGCCTCCTTTTCAGCTGCTCTGCCCAGGAGGTCCTGGGGCGCTTCACGCCCGGGGCAGTGGCACGATGGCCTCTGTGCAGAGGAAACGGGGCGGACGCACTCACCCACACACGTAGATGTGTCCGTTCCCTTCGTGGATCAGCTTCCACACGCTCTCCTTGTTCTGCTTGAGCAGGTGCTGCACATATATCTAGAGGAGCAAAGCAAGGCGGTTAGGGCAGGAGCAGCCACACGGCATGCAGTGCGGACCGCGCCAGCCGCTTCCAGAAAGCGTGGGGAAAAGATTCTAGTCCTTATGGTGGCTGGTGGGGTGAGAGGGCATGGATCCAGCAAATGCTTTCCCCTTCCCACCACTCGGGTGAGCTTTCTCTATCCCAGTGCTATTTATTTATGTATTATTTATTTAAAACATTTCTATGTCGCAACAAGCCTCAGGGCGGCTATCCAGATGTCTGGGATTAAAATCCCCAGCGTTCCTGTCATGCTGGTTCTGGCCGGTGGGAGGGAAAACCCAAAACTGGGAGTCAGCCGGGCGTTAGTCACGCTTCAGTCCTGGGCCACAGACAGTGCCGAGGAGGCAGACGCAGCCTGCCAAGAAGAGAGCGCGCTCCCGGCGCAGCTCCCCTCCATCTCCCCGCACCGCCGACTGGCGGCTCCCCAGCCCGAGCGCCGCTGCCGCCCACGTCCCTAAAAGTGCAGGGCACGTCCCTGAAGCTGAGATCCTTGGGCAAGACGCTCTCACTGCAACAGGCTGGTCTGCCTGGGGCTGCCTGCCTGAAGCCCCACCCCTCGGTGTTTGGCCCCACCCACTTTCTCCTCTGGCCCCGCCCAGCCCTGGGATGAGGCCCCCAGAGGGCCAGGGGCCCACCCGCCTCTCAGCCGCAGCTGCCCCACAGGGTGGCTGTCAGGATGGAAGTGGGGGTGCTGCCTGGGCCCCTGAGGGGGGGCAAGAGGAAGCGTCGCGCCCGAATCCCGGGGCCCTGGAACCCACAGCCAAGGGACCCCGCGCTCCAGCGGGACGGAGCCGCCGTCCTTCCGGCCCCAGTGCAGGCCCGGCCCGGCCCGGCCGAGGGGGAAGCAGCTCACCTTCTGGGGCTGGTCCCGGGAGAAGGCCACGTTGAGCTGCGAGAGGGCGCCGTCCCGGAGGAACTGGGCCAGCTCGTCCTTGTACAGGTAGTCCTCCTCCTTGTGCCGGCAGCCGTAGTACAGCACCGTGTCGCCCACCTCCTTGCCTGCAGCACAAGCACATGGCCCTCAGTCGTGCCCGGCCGCGCTCGGGGGCCGCTGCGCTGCGCACGATGCACGGTGGCGTGCGAGGCACACACCCCGCCAGCCTGCGTGAGCCCGGCCGGCCGGCGAGGCGGGTTCCTTTGGAAGCGGCAAGCAAGCCACGTCCAGCACTCGGCTTGGGGGCTTTCAGACCATGGGGGGCACGTGAGGCAGCGGACTGGACAGGCCGGTGGACGGAAGGATCGATGGGGCAGGGCTGGTGGATCGGACGCTCCCCAGAGCCAGGCCTCCAGTGGGGAGCGTGCTGAACTGGGACCGGGTTCAAATCCCACTGGGCCATGGAGGCGACTGGGTGACTAGGTGGGTCACAGATTCTCGGCCCAGCCTACCTCACAGGGCTGTTGTGGGGGTAAGACTGTGCAGGAGGAAGGGAATGAGGGAAGCTGCTACGCATTCTTTTCAGAAGGAAAAGGGGGGATATAAATCGAACAATACGCTGCAATCCCCCTGTCCATGCAAGGGCTCAGGGCCGACAGCCCTTCGGGGCAAGCCGGCACGGATCCTGCGACCGCCACCAGCTTCTCTGCATCTCGCAGCAGAGCCGTTTGGCTCTCGACAGCCGGGAAGGGCGACTCACCCTGCTGCTTAAGCCAGCCCCGCTCCTGGATGAAGCCCATGAAGGGTGCGATCCCCGTGCCGGGTCCGACCATGAGGACTGGTGTGCTGGATTTGAAGGGCAGACGGAACTGGGACTTCCGGACATACATGGGCACCGGCGACTTGTGGCCGTTCTCGTTGGGCTCCTTGTTCTTCAGCCAGTTGGTTGCCACGCCCTTGTTGACGCGGCCCGTTTTGGTTGTGTACTCCACCACCACCGCACAAATGTGGACAGAGTTTGGATGCACCTGGGGGGAAAACAGGCAGGAAATGTCAGGCTGGGGAAGAGCCGGTGCCACCCTGGCTCTGGGGAGCGGGCCAGGAGCGGCTAGCGTCCCCGAGGCCAGCCACAGACGGCCCCTCGCGCCCTGTGGCCCAGCCCAACCCTGGCACGTGGCTCCTGTGGGCAACCCCGATTCGGGCTGGACATCAGAAGCTTCCTCGCTGTCGGGGCAACGTGGCAGCGGGACCAGCTGCCTGGAGGGGTGGGGGCCTCTCCCACACCGGGGGCATTCCAGGCGAAACTGGGCAGCCACCTGAGCGGGGTGGTGTGAACTGGTGGCCTGCAGCAGCAGGGGGTCGGGCTCGATGGCCTTCCTGGCCCCACCCAACTCTATGATCTCCAAACCTGGATTCGGCCCTTGGGTGCCCCAAGGCATCCACCCCTCCAACACACCCCGTGCAGAATAACTCCAGACGGGCCACGCTGTCGCTGAAGGGCATTCTGGGAGCTGGGGAGGGCTCAGCCACGGGTGCAAGCCGTCGGAGCAGCGAACGGACCGCTGGAGAGGGTCCTCCGGTGCGGCCCCCCGCCGTGGCGCTCACCTTGGAGGTGGAGGCGATGGAATAGTAGCGGGCCTGCAGGCGGGGCAGCAGCTCGCAGACGTGGTCGATCGGGGGCCGCAGGGAGGGCATGTCCTGCAAGATGGCCAGGATGTTCCTCCGGGGCTCGACCACCCAGCTGACGTACAGGGCCTGCGCAGATCAAGCAAACGGCAGTGCTGACGACGGGAGCGCTGGGCCGGGCATGGTGGCGGCAGGCCTAGCAGGAGGGGGGCCCTCGGGGGCCCCCGGGCCTCCCCAGAGAGGCCTGCCCGGCACCACTCGTCCGGCTCCATTTGCCCTGGGTGAGGCCCATTTCATTCCCCCGGGTTTTCCAGTCGTAAATAAACCCACGGCAGCCTTTTAGGCCCCTGCCACGATTCAGGCCCCAGCCTGAGCAGGCGGGAGACCGCAGCCGTGCGACACCCGGAGGGCCACTCGCGGCCCGCCGACGCTCCAGCGGCCCCAGCGCCCAGCACGGGGGCATCTCCTCCCTGCCATGACGGGGAGCAGCGAGGGAGGCGGGACCCACCTTCCCTTCCGCGGAGGAGGAGGCCATTTGGCGCATCCTCTCCTGCTCGCTGGGGTCCGTGGCATACTGCGCCAGCTCGTAGAGGACGTTGGTGCGTGGCGGGTTCGTGATGTCCAGGTAGTGCGTCAAGGCGGTGCGGTACGAGGTAGGGCACGGGAACGGATGCTTCTTGTTGGACTCCTCTGCAGGGAGGGGGCGGAAGACAGGCGTCCGTCGAGGCTCCGTGGGTCTGAGAGACGCTTCTGGGCACACCGGGAGCACCCAGGCCCTGCCCCTTCTGGCTTCCAGTGGGTCGTGGCTATCAGCAGCTCCCACCTCCCCCAGCTCATTTTCCAGCAGGAACCACAAGCGAGTGAGCTGCCAACCCTGGGCATTTTCACCCCCCCCCCCCGGAAACCCACCACACGTGGGCACGACGTCACCCAAACCACGAAGGAAGTCGTGATAAAAATGGGTCCCCGAAGCAACAACAGAGCGAGCGAAGAGTCCACATTCCACGAAGTCTAACTTAACATCCAGATATGCTGCTAGTCCTCAATAGTGTGACCAAACAGGCCTGCCTCTGTCCCAACAATACACTTTCTTTCGTGGTTTCTCTTCTCAGCCTTTGTTTTCCCCACTTCGCAGATGATGAGAATGAAGAAACATGCTGAAAGCGGAGGAGGTGTGACCCCTCTGGCACGCCAAAACCGCCACGGGCACCTCCTCCCTCCCCAAACGGGTTCTGAGCTGACGTCAGGCGTGAGCCCGGCAGAGTGGGTGGATGCGGCCTGCCAGCTCTGCACAGCACACACCAGCTTATTCTTCGCCAGAAAGCCAGGGTAGCAATTTTTCCAAACCAGAAGCTTCTCCAGCCCTGTGTCTCCCCCAATATTTTCCTTAGAGAGACCAGTTGCAAATGGGCCGTTTCAATCCAGTATTGCAGGTTGCTGCCCTTAGCAATGATGCAAAGAAACAAGGCCACTGAACATCTCAGAAAAAAATGCGACTCCAATGAGGAGTGCCAGAGAATCCAAGGCTGCCCAAAACTCCTCTGGGCTCTTGCTAAAGTAGATGTGTGGTTGCTGAAACAAATACTGTGTCAACAATTTTCCTTTGTTTTCTAATTAAATGCAGATTGCAAGAAACAAAATAAGGAAAACGCAGACCATTATCTTTAATGATGCAAGCACCAAAATAAAAAGGTCTGCAGATCACATTTCCCCTCTCACATATTTCAGGCCCAGTACTCAGGGGCACTGGAATAAACTATCCATTCTTTTTAAAGCTTTGTTTGCTCTCTTCATGAATGCAAGTAAAAGAAACGTGCTAAATGGGATTAACTCTTCAGGGCACCAGAACATCATCTGAGGCTAAATGAGCACTTCTGATGAGAATGGCTGGATGCAAATGAGCTTAATTCGCATAGGATTTTTTCCCAATTCAAAAGGCTAGAGAAAATTCATGTTGCTGCAGGTTAAGCAGCTCTGCATATTTTTTTTTTCTTTGTGTGTTTTGCTGGCTGCAGAGATACACACTGGGAGATACAGACTGGGAGAAAGTGATTTCAGGCCTGAAATCCAAGGCAGAGTTGCGTAAAAGAATAGCAACTGAAACGAGGCCAAGGCAGGTTCCATGCAGGTGCCGTGGGTGATGAGAGCAACCAGTTCACCCACAGAGTTAACCACGGATGACGCAACAGCTACGGAGCCGTTCAGTGCCCCGGGCGCCCGTGGCAGGCAGGTAAAACGGACGCCGGGGGCATGACTGGGCAATCTGGCCAGTTTCGGGCCCCTGCATCCCAGAAAGAACACTGCAGCAAGGGGAAAACCAACTGGCCCGGCACTTCAGGGTTCGTTCCCCCCCCCGCCCCGCCCCCGGCAGGTACTCTTCCAGTTGAGCAAGCTCAACACACCACAAAAATGTTGTGGAGCCGCAAGTTTGCCAAGACGGGGGAAGAAGGTTCCCGAAGCCGGCGAAGCCCACCAGCCAAGCCCTGGACACATCAGAACGCCCGGGGGGTGGGGGGACCGGTTCTGCATGGCACCCACCCTGGCAAAGGCGGCCCTGCAGGCAACAGCCTGACACGCTTTCTGGCTCCAGTGCTGGGAGCTCCAGAGACCCCAGACAGCACAGGGGTGCTTGAGGGCGGGCCCATGCCTTGCTTTGAGGGCTCAACCTTCAGAGTCATCCATGGAGCCCGGAGGACTCGTCCCAAGACAGAGCTACAACCTGTTCGGTGCTACACTACCAAATTGCATGAGTGTTCTCGCTGTCTGAGAAGCGGGGAAAGCAACGGCTGAAAAGAGAAACCATGAGAGGAAGTGCATTGTGCAGACGGAAACAGCCCTCATTGGGTCACAGGATTAAGGACTAGTAGCATAGATGGATATTAAGTTAAAATCCACAACATTGTCAAAACCCTCTGAGTGCTGGTAAGTGTCCCCAATAGGCAAAAAATAATAATTATGTAATGTTGTAGATTATCTTACATATGAATCTTCGTGCTGCACATTTTCCATAAGTATAAATCTCATCTTAAAAAGTAGTTCATTCTCTGGGAAAAAAGTACTTCACATTTTTTTCAATACCCCCTTAAGCGTCTTTTTTTTTAATGGGGAAAAACATGGAAGAATGTCTGGGGGCCATGGCTTGATGCTCCAGCTTTCCCCCCATTCGCCTACACATCTTTCCCTAAGTCTCCAGTCAGGGGTGAGGATGCCCACCGTGTCTCTGCATGACTCCCTGCTCTTTTTGACTGTCCTCTGCAGGGCAGGGCGTGGAGGGGAGACTCTGCCCCATTTCTTCCCCTGGTGCAACTGAAATATTCTTGGCCCTCCAGGCAGAAAAGCAGTGCCTCTCCCTGTCGCAGGATGGGTGCTTGAGTCACTCACCTCCTGCCGGCGGACATGAGGGCCAACTGAGCAGAGGACCCTCAGAGGTGGGAAGGAGACTGTCGGGGGCGAGAGGGCAGAGGAGCCCTTCAGCGCTCCGAGCCTGGAGACCCCAGCAGAGCCCCCAGAAGGGCTGCCGGCTTCCATGCAGACTGGCAGTGGAGAAGAAACACTCACCGTCCAGATTGTTCAGGGAGATGACTGTATCTAAATCAGCACCGAGGATTTCGCCCAGCTGGTTCACCAGCGACGTGTCGTTGGCTGGGTACACAGCGATGTGGTCTCCCGATTCGTACCTGAGAAAGAGACCATGAGAGAGAGGGTGCGTCTGACCACAGGTCTTCCAGGCTTGCTTGGACTGTGGTTCCAAAGGCCCGAGAAAGCGCGGAGGCATCCAGCTCCCATAAACATGGGGGAAACATTCCACTGGAACAGGTTCGACTTGACCCGACACCATGTATGGCTCAGTTTAAAACACCATGGGACAAGTGCATTGGTCGGAGTCTCAGTATCAAATTATTGAAAATAGTGATGGGGTAGGTTTTTTATTGTGAATTTCAAAAAAACAGTAACAAAAGCAAAACCTAAAAGCAATTATAACTAGTTTACAGCACAGAAAATTAAGTATAGCAGTTACAATGAAAGCACATGGAATTTCTGTGCTTTTGTCGGGCATTGGAACACCAACAAAACCGCACTCACGGATTCTGGATGGCCCGCACCGATGGATGGCCATCAGCTGCCATCATCACGAATGGAAAGCTTTCCATACAAACCCTGGTTGTATGGATTGATGCGGGGCTGAAGGCTGTGGAAGCCCAGAAAAGAGACATCTTTGGCCATTACAGGATGCTGAGCTACCCCGAAATTTGCCCAGATTCATTAGAAGCGCAACCTTGCACAGATTCACACAGAACAAGTCCCATGACTCCCGGCTGTAGGACTTTTTCTGACCAAGCCTGCATAGGGTTGTTCCCTAAGGCTCTTACAGCCGTCGCCAACCTGAAGCCCTCCAGTCAAGGGGTTCAGGTGGGAAATTAGTCCAGTTCACAGTTCCCTATAATTTTATTAGCGTACTTTCAAACTGCTAGATAAAGTGAAACACCACCATCCCCCCAAATTCAGACCTCTCTGAACTTTGCTGTTAAGTTCTCCAATCAAAAGCTACATACAGAAATGTTTTAAGTTAGGAGGAAAATATTGAAAAATGCACTATATTAAGAACGGGGCTAATGCTAACATGTGTACCTTAGGCAAAAATGCCCTATTTGGTGAAAAGTGCACAAAAGGCTTATGAATTTTCATGCAAACTGTTTTCTCTTTAAAATCTCAACCTTTGGACAAACCAAAGTTAATGTGTGACAAATGCTCAAGCCTGAAACAGACTGGATTTAACATCGGGGGCGGGGGAGAGAAACAGGAGACTATCTGAAATGGACAGTCCACTTCTAATCCATCACCCCTATGCTGAGAATGATAGGGAATGTTGTCCAATACATCCAGTGGCTCTCAGGCTGAGGAAAGGCCTGCTTTCCACTCACTAAAACAAGGCAGGCTGTGCTTACCTGATTTTTGATCCAGTGATATCCAGTTCCAGGTGCATCAGGTGCCGCTCGCCTCCTTGGTTCAATTTGCGGTTCACCGACACGGGCGCCAGGAACGGGTTCTTGGCATCAAAAGGCCTGGAGGAACCCAACAAGGCACAGCTGATGCTGCCGGCAGCATGCAGTCACTTCCAAATTTGCTGCGCGCCTCCCTTCCTCCCCTGGCACCCGCGAAGCACTGATGGGGGAGCCGGGGGCTGCTCCCGCTGGGGGGGGGGGCAGTTCCAAGGACAGGAGGCCCTGTGGTTTCCCGACTCACGTGAGCGCCTGCAGAGGAGGGCCCACGGCCCACGCTGCTGCTGCTGCTCTTCAAACTTACGGTTTCTGGTTCTCGTAGCTCTTGAGGCGGCCCATTTCGCCGGTGTAGACCTTGCTTGCGCTGATGTCCGTGTGCACAACCAGTTCATACTGCCGAATGCTGGAAAGGGGAGATGGCGGTTAGGAAAGGGAGGGGGGATGCTGGCCCTGAGCTCTCGAGAAGGCAAGGGGAGCAGACAGGGTGGTCCAGCGATTAAGAGGGCTTAGGATGGCCCTGAAAAACCAGACAGTAAGAGAGAAGGGGGCTCCTGCAATGCAGGGCAGAAAACGGGCAGGGCCCTCGCACTCTTGCTTTACACACGGCGTAACTAAGGCAGGGGCAGGAGGACACTCCTCCAAGCCTCCAGACGGAGTCCGGGCTCCCAGACTGGGGTGGCTGTCCAGCTGAAGAAACAAGCTGGAAAGGGTTCGGAGAAGAGCGACAAGGACGAGCTGGGGACGGGAAGCAAAGCCCGGTGAGTTGGGAGTGGACGACCTGGGCATGTTTGGCCTTGGGAAGAGGAGACTGAGGAGGGATATGATAACCCTCAATGAGACCCTGCAAGGCTGCCACAAAGAGCGGGGCCGGGGTCTCTTCTCGATCTTCTCAGAGTGCAGGATATGAAACAGCAGGCTCAAGCAAGGAAGTCAGATTCCTGCTGCGCATCAGGAAAAAACTCCTGGCTGTTAGGGCAGTACAACAGTGAGCCCCAAGACCTGGGGAAGTCATGGGCTCCCCCATGCTGGAGGCATTCATAGAACACAGAAACAGAGCAAGCCGGAAGGGGTCTCCCGGGCCATCTAGTCTGACCCCCGGCTCCAGCCAGCTCTGCTCACGACATGCCCTCCATGTGCATGTCCAGCCTGTCCTTGAACACCCGCACCGATGGGGCCTCGACCACCTCCCGAGGAAGCCCATTCCACACCCTTGGGGTCCTAACCGTCAGGAAGTGCTTCCTGGCATCCAAATGAAACCTTGGCTCCCTGAGCTTGGCTCCCTTGGAGCGCATCCTGCCCTCCTCTGCAGGGAAGAACAGGTCTCTGCCCACCTCCGTGTGACACCCCCTCACGTACCTGAATGCAACTGGACACACATCCGAGAGGGATGGCTTACCTTGGGAGTCCTGCACCAAGCAGAGGTTGGGACCTGGTGGTCCTCTGGCCTCTCCCAGTTCTACCAGTCTAGGACTCTCTGCTAACAGCCAATTAGCAGAGGCCCAGAGTAAAAGAGTATTGTCTAGCAGGGTAGACCACTAGTTCCTATGTTAGTGGGGCACCAGAGCCATTGCAGCTTTTATTTTGCGCTTTCCTGGAGCTGTCCATGGTACTAAACCCATCTGCAGCCACATGGAATTTGGCACTGTAGGCGGCAGCTAGCGAAGCAGCAGGAGACCAAGAGTCTCTGCCCTCATCCCTCCCTCTGGCTCGCATGCCCCTTCCCCACTGCGATCCCAGCCCTGCCCCCCGCCCCGCCTGCTAGCGGTCCCCATGCCCCACACAGGCACTGACCTGCACTCGTCTCCCGTGGCTTCCACCCCGAAGTGCTCGCACACGGCCGGCCAGAACTGCTCACGCCACGTGATGAAATCCTCTTCCAAGCTGCCGGAAGCCACAGGCGGGGAGGAAGAGGAAAAGAGACGCCGTTTACAGCCGGCAGCACCACCCAGCAGGAGCCCCTCGCTCGGCCGAGTGGGGCTGAGCTCCCCGCGCCCCACGGCGGCGTTCTGGGCTCTCTCCGTTGGACCACAGTGGCAGGACGCACCGCCTGGAGCTGGCGTGATGGGCGCAGCCACTGGATCGGGCGAGGCTGGAGGCCCAGGACAAATACGAGATGCGACCCTTCAGACGCTGCCTTTGTCCCTCTGGCGCAAGTGCTCCTTCCTCTATTGCCCGAAGGCCAATCTTCCTTCAAGTTCTGCCCACCAGCCGCTTCTCTCCAAGCAAAGCGCTCTCCCTCACCACCTCCTGCTGTCGGTCAGGTGTGATCCGCAAGGCGCTTTCACTCTGCTATCTGGTCACCCTTTGCAGCAGGCAGGCAGGGTTTAAAAAAAAATGCCGTAAAATGCACTATCTAAAAAATGGAGGAAGGAGAGAGCCCTCCAGGCATTCTGGATTGCAGGGGCAAAGGAAACTTGGGGGGCCAAGCCCCAGGCTGACTGGGACGCGCGGAGCTGCAATCCAGCCCCTCCGGAAGACCCTGGTTTTGGAAAGAGTTCAAACTCCCAGCCATCTGGGAATTGGAGAACATTTTCCTTTCTAAACATGTGTAAGATTGTAGAACTTTTTCTGTCTAATAGTTACAGGATTGTGCCCTCAATCAGTGGCCTTTGGAAAGGGTTGCCCATCTTTGAATCCTGAGGAACGAAAGCACTATCCGTGATCTCTGGCGGCGTTTTTAAAGCAAGGAAGTCCGTGCATGTTTTCACGCGGGTTAGAGGTATGGTTACTTCGGTCGCTCATGCCTTCTGCTCCTCTCCTTTGGTTGCTCTGCATAAAAAGCTCAGCCAGACTGCCTACCCTGACCTCATGATGAGAAGGACAGCGGATCCCATGCTGGCAGGGGAGGATGGGATATGCAGTCCAGCCATTTTGAAGACTGGGGTTGGGGAAGATTGAAGGAATATGGCTCATCTTTGTAGCCCCTCAGAAGGGTTGGAAATTCAAGTGACAAAAATAGGCGGGCCCTGTACAAATAATTTATTTTCTGGCAGTTTGAGAAGTTCTCTCTCTCCTTTCCACAGCCCACAGTTCCCATCAACCCTGACCTGAGGGGGCCCAGAAGTCCCCCACCCACGGCCCAGAGCTACTCTCTAGCGTGGCCCCAAAACGGACTCGGCGGCTGAGCCACCACTCACTTTCCGTCGTCATCCCCGAGGCCGAGCTCGAAGATCCGCTGGGCACCCAGCTCCTCCAGCCGCTGGTCCACATACTTCCCCATCGCATTGAAATGCTCGTAGGTCTTGTTTCCCAGTCCAAACACCTGCAAGGCAGCGGAAGAGCCGTTCGTCCGGAGCACCACCCCCACGCGGCCCGGTCTTCCAGGCTTCCCAAAAGATGCACGCGTGGGCCTGCGGGTACCCGCAGCAGGATGCAGCGAGCCAGCCCTCCGAGAGGGACGGCGCAGCTTGCAGCCCTGCACCGCACACAGGGCTGGACGGCACTCTGGCCCCTCCGACTTGGCTGTTCTGCGATTCTATGACATGGGAGCTGCACATCTGCCCTCCTGCCCCTTGAGATCGGCAGCAGAGGCCCTCCTCTGGGAACCCTCCGTGAAAGATATTAGGAGGGTGAGTACCCAGAGGAGGGCCTTCTCTGCGGTGGCGCCCCATCTCTGGAATGTGCTCCCCAGAGAGGTCCACCAGGCGCCATCGTTATTTGTTTTTCGGCGCCAGGCCAAGACCTTTTTATTTAAACGATCTTTTAATAATTGCTGATTTTATTCATTGGTTTTAAATTATTAAGCCAGGATGTTTCCAGATTTTATATGTATGTATTTGTATAGATATTTATTTTTATGTTGGAAGCCGTCCCAAGGCTTATGCGAATGGGACAGCATACAAAAATTCCAAATAAATAAATCAATATAACTTTCTATAATTATATCTTATTTCTGCAACTTCTGAGGATCCTAAGGAAGTTTACATGATGCCCAGGTGCCCAGTCCAACGCTATCACCACCGCAACACCCTGCCTCACCATCATCCATCACCCATAACAAAAGTGTGCCAAATATCTAAGTAAGTATCCTTTGGCCTGGATGTGTCATTGGCAACAGGCGGAAAGTGCTAGGAGATCCTCCGTCCATTGCATGATAGCAGGCGAATGTTTATCCTTTCAATTATTGAATTTTGGCTTTCAAAAAGAATACAAGGAATCCATTTATTATTTTCCACAACGTGGGTAAATTATGTAATATTTCCAAGCTATCAGAAAAATTAAAGACTGTTCCTGTGCAAAGTTTATCATTGCAATAACCTCCCCCCTCCAAAAAAAGCAGCAGCTCCCGGATGTTTAAAAGAAGCAGTAACTGCATTGCACTGCCAACAATTAGCCGAATTAAACAATCCCTTATTCAAGAGACACTGGTGCGCCCAGTCTGGGTAGTTTTAAAAGGGGACTGGACACATTCACCGAGAAGGCTGTCAATAGCCACTAGTCCTCATGGCCGCATGCTAACTCTGGCTCTGGACACGGCACAGCCAGGACCGCTTGGGCTAGGTGGATGCTTGTGCCGATCCAGCAAGGCTCTTCTTGTAGCCACACCCCCTTTTAACGAGGAGAAAGAGAAACGGAGGCGGTCGGGGCTCAAGGTGATACGGCCCACTGCATTCTGGGAATCCCCGAGGGCTGGATGGGGGCCCGCGGGGCTAGCTTACCCAGCCCTCATCCCAGGCAAGGCCCCCTGGGGAAAAACCCACCGCATATTTAATGCCCGAGAGGTCGGAGTCGCTCTCCTGCAGCCAGTCGTAGAAGTCCTGGGCGTTGTCCGTGGGGTCTCCTTCTCCGTAGGTGGCCATGCAGAAAACCGCCAGGGCCTTCTCGATCTCAGAGAGGCGGCTCAGGTCAGACTGGGGGAGAGAGGGCCAGGAGAGGCGGCATCAGCAGCTGCAAAGACCACCACGCACCCACCCAGGCATGTGCTCTCACCTTAACCATGCCACGCGCCCCAGTGAGAGAGCAATTAGGAGATACGTTTATCTGAACTGGGGAAGGGATTAGTACCGTGCAGGGCAACTTTAGAGTCACTGATGAACCTGTGCGGAAAGAGGCGATGAAGCCCAGACGCTGTGGGTCCCAGCTGCACGACTGCGTTGGCACACTATGTTAGATCGCAGTTTACACACTGAAGGAGGGAAGGGGGCCTTCTCCGCATCGCGCAGCCCTACTCTGAGCCAGTTTCCAAACGGTTGCCAAACGTCACCCAAGCTGACGTTCCCCATACTTCTGGGCCTGGGTGCAAGGACTGAGCAGAACCTACAGGAAGCACCTTGGCTGGATGGGAGGAAAAGAGGCGGGTGGGGGGCCAAGGCGTATCCTGGCTCAGGCGCCAGTTGCCAAACGTGATGCGTTCAGCCTGACACCGGGTCGTCACACATGCCAGGACTGAGGGAGCTGGCAAGAAGTCCAACTTGCCTAAAGTCCCAGGTTCAAATCCTGGCATCTCCAAAACCAGGGTGGGAAAAATCCAGAAAGCTGCCGCCACCAATCCGAGTGGGTATGGCACAGCCAGAACAAGGCAGCTTCTGAAGCTTCTGTTTTAAAAGACTCTCTTCCAGAACAATGAGGACTAGTGTCTTTTAGGAAAGGGCCATAGGTCAGAGCCGCAAAGCCCATGCGTGCTGTGAAAGTGGATGGTTCCAGGCTCAATCCCTGATCACACCGAGCCAAGCAACACCTAGCGAAACACCTGGCATACGCAGGGTGCCAGTCAGTGCTGACAAAACTGAACTAGAAATAAAACTGACCCACCTGAAAACAGAACTCAAAAACCAGATTTGCCCCAAAGTGCCTGCAGGCTGCCTGGCACAATTTCAGCCGCCTCGCAATGGTGCAATGAGCTTTCTCTGGGTGATCCAATTATGTCTAAAGCTGATAGCTAATGACTGCCAGCACAATGCACAAGAAAGACACACAACTGAAGGCCGTATCAATGAACAGAGGAAAGAATCCATCAAACGGCACTTAAAAGCAGCCAGGAGACGCTGCTCCACACAGTTCAGTCTGGGCCTTTTTGCTAAGCGCAGTGCCAACACTCCTGGCCACACAGAGCAACAGCCATCGTCTTGGATGGTTTTATGATGCGATTATGCAAATTCAGGGAGGAAGAAATTTGTGAAAGCACTCTACACAGAACTTCCACGCATAGGCACAGTCTCTCTTCGAGCACCACTTGCCAAGAAAGAGCAGAAGAAACTGGAAACGTGGGCTTCTGCTCCATTCCTGGGTGACGCTTTTGAGGGAAGGGTGGGATAGAAACTCAATGAATTTAATAAAGATAGAAACACACCAGGTCGTACTCCTCTGGGTCGGCTGACATTCCGCGCATGCCATAGCGCTGGGAGTCCTTGGCCAGGCGGTTGGCAAACTCTTCGGCGGTCCCAGTCTGGGAGCCATAGAAAACCACAATGTTTTTTCCCTGGGAAGGAGACAAAAGCAGGGGAGCATTTAGCAGCTAAGCCTGAAAGTGCCAAACTCCAGGGCAGCCCCTCAGGAATGGGTGGGCTGCTGCAACAGCTGTGGCAAGCCATTTCCTGGTCGTCTGCCAACTCCTGGATGGCAGGGATGACCTGATGCAGGGGATGTGGCAAAGCCATCCTTGGTACCAGATACGGCAGGGCGGTGAGAAGGGAAAACCCCCACGCTCCCTGCACACAGAAATCCAGCAAATCAGGGGGGAGGGTCTTGCGTGGCCCCCTCCCGGCCCCGCTAGACTTCCGCCAGCCGCCGTCTTGCCAAACTCCGGCCGGCCTCTATTTTCCACATCAAGGCAGCCCCACCACCTCTTTGCTCTTATGCAAGCCGTGCGGTGGGCAGCGTGCAGCCTTCAGTCTTCCCCAACCTGGCGTTCTCCAGGTGGCTTGGACTACAACTCCCAGCCAGCATCTTTCAACGTCAGCCAGCCAGCCAGCCCCGTGCAGACATACCGTCTTTTTCATCTTTTCAATGAAACTGCCCTCATTTGTCGATTGTGCGCTGGAAGAGAGAGAAACACAGTGGCACATTTCACAGCCACAATTGTGTAACCAAGAGAGTAGCTCAGGGCAGCCTCCCCTGCCCTGGCGGACTACAACACCCATCATTCTCAGCCAGCAGGGGCCCCTCTCTCAATTAATCTACCTTCTTCCTATCGTTGCTACTTTCCTCCTAGTCCTCTTTGTCCCTGTGACCAAGCTTTTCCCCGTGCAAAGCCGCATCCAGGTTTTGGCATGGCCCCCCCTCTGCACCCTCCTTCTGGGCCACCCAGACCCTCCTCCCAGATCACAGTGGCACGGAACAGACATGCAAATACACGTGTGCGAGCTTTGCTGGACTGGCACGGCGGCTCAACAGAGCGGGGGTGAGCGCCCCCAGCTCAGGCGTGGCTCTGCCACGAGAGTCGCTTTCTGCCACAGACCTCCTCGCCTGCATCCTGCCAATTGCTCTAGCTGGCCTCGCAGGGTTGCTGTTAAGGTTCACAGTGTTTAGCCTGGAGAGGAGGCCATATTCCAGCTGGGCATCAGGAGGACTTCCGGACGATTAGAACACTGCGGCAACGGATCCCAAGACCCAGAGGGGTGGGGGGCTCTCCCACCCTGCAGGCATTCAAGGGGCAGCTGGATGGCCACCTGTCCAGAATGCTTTAACTGGAGTCCTGCACTGGGCAGGGGTTGGGCTAGATGGCCTTCTGGGCCCCTTCCAAGCGACCATTCCGTGATTCTACAAGGGTTTGGAATGCCCCGCAAGGACGAGCTGGAGGGGGGTGTGCCTGTCCTCCTTACAACCCTGGAGGCAAGCGATTATTCATCTAGGGAAATGAACAAGAGAAAGCCCAAGGGCAGCTTCTGCCAGAAAGCCTGGAGGGAGGAAAGCCCTGAATCAGATCCTTGCCTCCTAATCAGAGATAGGAGGCAAGGATCTGCAGCGACTGCCCAAGGACATCCCCAAAGCCCAGCGAGGCTGCTGCACAAGGCCTCCGCACTGGCAATCCGTGCAGCGAATGCGCTTCTTTGCCGTCCTTCCGGACTCCGTGCTGTTGATCCCCCACTTGGGACGGCACCGAGCTCAGGCGAGATGCGCCAGCGCTTGGAACCAAGCGGCGCCGCTATCACGGCAGGCCCCTCACTTCCGGACACAGTCAACCTTTGAGCAGACACATCCAGCAGGAGGAAGAGCGACCAGCTAGGAGTCCCCCTCATGGAAGGCCCCCTGCTTGACCCCTCTGCCCACGCACGTTCCAAGCCTGTCCCGTCTCACGGCTCCTGGCCATCAGGGTCCTCTGCCAAATCCCGCTGTGCACTTTCACAGAAACACAAAACAGCCGAGTTGGAAGGAGCCAGAGGGCTGCTCGGAAGCCATCAGTGAGACTCGGGGACTGGCTGAGTCGGAAAGGGCCCCAAGGCCACCAAACCCAATTCAGGGCAGAACCCCAAATGACACCGCCCCTCTCAGGGGGCTGTCCAGTGGGTGTGGGAGCGCCCACCACCTCCCCTGGCCTTGGGCCCCATGGCCATCCTGCTCGAAAAGCCAGGGGGGTCTCCCTGATGGCCAGCCAGAATGTGGCCAGCTGCAGCTTGAGCTTGTTGCCCTGTGCCACGCACCCTGGGATGACAGAGACGGGATCCTGGGCCCCTCTGAGCGGCAGCCGGTCAAGAGCTTTCTGCAGCCACATCACACTGTCGGCTCAAATTCAGTGGCTTGGCTGAACCCCGTGGATCAGCCCTCCCAACCCAATAATAATAATAATTCCCAGGCCCAAGCCACACTGCCTGCCAGGGCTGGGAGCAGGAAGGCCAACACATCCAGAAGGCCCCAGCCTAGGGAAGAGAGCTTGGACTTTTGCTCCACCATCTACTGGAAGGCTGCTTCTGAGCATGTGCAAAATTCTTCTTGGCCTCTCAGCACTCTCTCCTCAAGGGAGCTTCCAGGACCAGGTGAGCTTTTCCCACTGGTGCCCCCCAGACCCATCGGCTGCAGCCACTGTGTGGGAGCTCTCTGGGATCGGCCAGCACTGCCTCCGTGCCAGCAGGTCTCCCCACATGGCTTCACTGTCCCAGGAGTGAGCCATCCCATAATATGGCATGACACTGGGGAAGAAGGTGTCGCTGCTGGGAAGAACCCTTGTGTGCCAGCAACTGTGAGCATTACAGATGTGTCCGGAGGGTGGGGGGGGCTGTAAGTCTGCATGGGGCTAATGAAAAATGCCCCTATGCCTCCCACCTCCCCTAATGCCATGTGGGCGGGGGCTTCCAGCTCGAGCACAAGACTAAAATGAGTGTGTTTACCCAAGACGGGGACTTCTATTCTGCTTTCCCAGACCTATGTGATATACGGGTCAAGACGTTAACCAGAATGGTTCCTTTTCTAAAAACAGACCATTTCAGACTAGATATCGGATAAGGAACTTTCAAAACTGCAATTCTGTTTTCCTCCTAGCAGGCTCCCCCAGCGAACATGTGTGCATGCATAAGCGTGAGCACACACCGCTCTGGGGACACGCTCAAAATGGTGTGCTTTGCCCCAGTGGAGGCAACTTGGCACCCTCCAGATGGATGGCGGAAGTTAGGGTGAGGGTGCTGGGCAAGGACATGGGGGTCCCGGGGCTAGCCCTCCCTTGGCCACGGGGCTGGCTGGGTGACTTCGGGCCAGCCCGACCTACCTCACAGGGTTGTTGTGAAGTTAAAACACAGAGCTGTCCCATAAGCCACCTTGGCACCCCTTGCAAAGAGAAAATGGATGGAATACATCTGAAATAAATAAAGGGCTACAGAGCTGAAGGTGTCAAATTGGGACGGGCTGGGCTGGAGCGTCCTTTGGTGCTGATCCGCAGGTCTGGAGTGGAAGGCAGCATTCAGGAAGGGCTGGGCTGGGCTGGGCTGGGCTGGGGGGTGGGGGCAGTCCAGCTGTGCCAGGAAGACCCTTCAGGGATGCAAAAGCCCACCTGGCTCCCAGCGCCGTCGCGGGCTGGGGCAGGGGCCGTCGCGGTCGCCCCATCGGCCTGCGTGCTCGAAGGACGTCTCAGCGGAAGCGTGTCCCAGCCAAGCACATCTGGAAGCTGGGAAGGAGAGCGCTGCACGGCCAGGAGACGCCGACTGGCGGGGGGGGGTGACTGGATGCCCAGGCCCTCTGGAAGCAAGGAGTGGGAAGAAAGTGCTGGCTGCCGGCGGGCTCCGACCCCGAGCCAAGAGCGGGGGCATTCGATCGGGTTCCCACTCGCCTTTCACGAGGGAGGGAGAATGCGGAGCGCTCCCACAGGGAGACAGACGCGAGCAGAGCAAATGCCAAGGAAAACACCACCCAGGAAAGCTCTCTTCCCCGAGGCCAGGCTAGGGATGGGGCAGGCACTCATCGGCAGCGGAGAGGAAGCGGAGAACCCCACCGCAAGCTGATGAGTTAGGCAGGAGTGTGGGAAGAGGGCGGAAGAGCAAGCGAGCCAGAGCTGTGCCTTCTGGACAGCCAACGGCTGTAGGAAACGTATTAGCCGTGGGAGCCGTAAGTAATAAACAGCCGTCATGACAAAGGAAGCCCGAATTGTGAAAATACAACAAGCCCTCACATCGTAACTTATTTGGGGCACTGGCACTTTTAGCCCAGTCAGTGACAAGAAAAAAGCCATAATGTATTGAAATAATTTGTGGGACCATCACTAAAAAAAAAAAAAAAAAAGGAGGAGAAAACACCATGCAGAATTGACAAGCCAGGTGAGGGAAAAGAAAACCCTTCCAGATTTACCTTACAGATAAAGTTGTTTAGAGAAGTTGAGTTATGCCGTCACTGTATCACAATTAAGCATATTACTTTGGACTTATGCTCAGAGTGCCGTGCTTTCCACCACGCACCCTCCCAGTGCCGCTTGTCTGCAGACTTTGTCCCAAAGGCACGCGCCGTCACATACAGGGTTCGTGCCACCGTGAGGGGCCCAACATTTTACAAAAATACTCTATGCTCCCCAGGAGAAACATCAGCCAGCACTCTCGTGCGCAATGAGCAGTGAAAAACAGGCGCTTTTATGGTGCTTTCTAAAAAAGCAGGAAGTACATCCTTAAATCTAAGCACAAGGCAACACAAGGTGTTGACAGGTGTTACAAGGTGGACTTCGTGAGATACAAGTCAGCGAGGGCGAATGATGGAGAACTTAGTTCTGGGGCCGTCCTTTGTGTTATGCCGATGTGACAATCCTGTACCAGCGGTCCCAATCCACAAAACTAGAAAGGTCTTCCCAAATGTTCTAACTCATCTTAAAAATCGTGGTTAGAAAAAGTGTGGGTTCAGGGGAAAGGGAGGGGTCCTTCTGGGGAACCCTTGCAGGGCAGGATTTGGCCCTAGCCTGGGGCACCCCAGCCCTGCCTTGCAGAGTTTAACCAGGTTGCAGCCTTGGGCAATGCTGGCAGCCCAAACCTTCAGATGCTGCCAAGGAAGCACTCTCGGATATAAGACCGCACAAGCCACAGTCCCAAGCACATGACTGGCCTAGTTTGGACTGAACAACCCACTAGGGTTCTGGAGAATCCTGCCGTACGGTTAACGAACGGTCCTCGAATGCGCTCGGCTCCTTCCGGCCAGGGCTTGCTTATCAAAACGTCTGTCCCAGAGACTGAAGCTTTTCTCTGTGACTGAAGGCATGTCAGCTCAGCACATACACCGTGGGGGGGCGGGGAGTCCACACCAAAAGAGTGTTCCACAGAGCTGGGGCCAACACCAAACAGCCCCTCTCTTAGACAGGCCAACTTGAACAGTGGACATTCAAGAGGAAACCCAGCACGTACACAGACCTTGCCAAATCCGAAGTCCTGCCAGGCTTAACTTTCCCAACTTCTTGGTGCCTGCCAGAATTGCGGGGGGATGTTTTTGCCATTCATCTGAGATGAAGGAAGGGTATGTGGGACCCCCCCCCCGTTATCCTCCAAACAACCCCAGAATGGGAGCTCTTACCTCACATAAGCACTTTGCAGTGACCCAGTCGGGGGGCAGCCACTCCATGGGTCGAAAACCAGCGC